TTTATTTCACAGTTTAAGCTGCGCTGACACTGTCTCCTCACGGTTACACATCGTTATATAGCATAGCCAGTTGTTCTTAGTTTGACTAGCATGTTTACTATATATAAAATATGAGACAGATTACCAGGAATTTAGCTACCGACTGTATGTTACCAATCTTACCGTATGAACTAATTCCTTTATTCCTGTTGGAATGCTGTATCATAAATCACATTGTCTCAATAAAAATACAAGAGGAATACTATAAATCTTTGAGTAGAATTTAAAAAAAAAAAATTTATCTTTAACTTGTTAGGGTAGCTCCAGGAATATTTTATGTTTAAATATCTTTAAGAACTTGTTACCGTGGTGAATTTTCTTCTCTGTGACCTTGTAAAAAATGATAAGTCTTGGAATATATTTATATTTTTAAACTTATCTTACAAAGTTATTTTGGCTCGAATAGCACGTAATATTGCTTCTTTAAACTGGAATGATTACAGATTTATTATGTCTCTTGGTAGTTGTGATATAGCTTTCGGTTTAAATAACCAATGGTATCTTTCTATATTAGTATTATATTTTGTTACTTCTATCTTCAGTGCTAACCATAGCTTATCTAAGAACTCTGGAATTTGTTCTTGTGTAACCGTCTCTGGAACATTTCGGAGTCTGAGGTTATTGCGTTTTGTGCGATCTTCTAAGTCTCCTATTTTACCTTCCATAATTCTCAATTGACCATTCAACTGTTCATTTCGATCTTTCAATATTTTTTGTTATATTCTAAAGTTGTAATTTTTTTTTGAGTTATATAATTCTTTATTTTTGTTGTGCCTTGCAAGTACAACAGGTAAGAGAAGACAAGTCAAAGAATAGCATCAAAAAGTGTCAACATTTCTCCATACATTGCAAAGATTACTGCACAATTTTTTATATATATTCAAAGAGTACATGCTGCTTCTAGAACTGAATATCAGATAACGTATAGCATGGCATAAGTTGGTGCCTAAAGTAACACAAAATTTATGATTACAATAGATGTTCATTTATAATGTCATATTTCCTAACATCCTATTATTAGTATATGCGCATAGACAACAAGAAATGGACAGTAACAGGTGCTTACAGTTAGTATATCAAAACTGGTTAAACGTATGGTATTGATAACATTCTACATGGTAATCAAATAGGAGATGCATGTATGCGTGTCTAAGGTGGTGATTATGGTAGTAACACAGGTTGATAAAACTTTATAGTTAGGTGTATTGACTTAAATCCTGTGTCTGCATAAAAATGAGAAAATTGGAAATTATAGCCGAGATCGCCCACTGGGTGTGTATACAGGTTGCCAGTGTTAGTTAAACCATTAGGTGCAACACTACTTGCACACTGGTGTGATATATAGTGCAGCTTATTCGGCTCGCCAGTAATGGCATAGAGCTGGGCTAAGCGTATTGTGAGTTACGTCAGGTTATATATATAAACATAAATATTAGTGGCATGTAAGGGTATTATGTGATGATATAGTCTCTATTGTATTGATTAATATTTGTGCTTAATAGTAGCAATCTAATAAGATAGCTTTATAACATAATTGAAGAGTAAATGATAAATATAAATGGTATAAGTACCTTTAAGTACTATAGGTTGTATAGACATGGAAATAAGTTATGTGCTTAGATGTAAGAATTAATATGATATGTCTTTTTTAATTTGTAACATGTTTTTAATTTGGAGTCTGTAAGCATGCTCGGGCGTAACTCTCCTCGGTGCATGAGCAGGTTTAGTTGATATGACGCTGGTAAACATTTCGGGTAACCCTAGCAACAGGCAGTGACGTCAACACGCCACTTCCGGGTTGCGATGTGGTTGCACATGCGCAGAAGGGATGGAGAGACGCCAGGGAAGCAGCGATACAGGTGGTGAGTGATAGTATGATTAAATAATTGGTTTGTTTGGCTATATAAATGTAATATGCTGTAAATGTATTTTTTGCTGAATTGATCCTGATGAAAGCCACGGGTGATGGCTGAAACGTTGATTCTATTGGAGACTATGTTTTAAGAAACTTGAAATAAAGGAAGAAAATTTTTATACAAGAAAAAGACCGTGCATGCAAGCCTTCATTTACTATTTCTGTGATATTTGACTTTGGCTAGAATGCACCCGGCATTTATATAATTTAAAAAAGTGTGTGCAGGGATCAAAAAGAAGGTTTTATATATATATATATATATATATATATATATATATAGATGTTTTTAGAAAAACAACTTTTTGTTTCAGCCTTCTAGGAAGGGGAAACATGGGTTAGGAAAAAGGGCCTACGTGAGGTCCCCTGTTAAGCGCCAGTGGGATAGTGCCCCTCTGCCCCAAGGGGCCTTGTGCCATGCACGCGCAGCCGGGCATATCAGGACACCCTGAACTAAAATAATAAAGGGTGATAAACAATTTAAATAAAATTAAGATCACAAAGGGGATGCAGACAGTAAACAGGCTCCCCCCCTCCCTCCCATACAGTTATAGTCTGGTAATAGCAAACCTTGGCAGGCTGCCTGCAATATGGTAGCTTTGGCTCCCAGAGGGTCTTTGGCCCCCTTCCAGATGCCCTTTCAGTTCCATCCTTCCACCAGAGTGGTCTGTGACGAATTGGGCACTCGGAGAGTGAAACAGTCCGTGGGCCCCCCCCCAGGGTCCACAGTCCATTCATCTCCTATACCTTCCCTGCATCTTCAGGGACTCTGTGAGGTGTCGTCCCCTGAGATGTCTCTCCCAGCTCCGGCCACACACTTGATTCTGTTGTGCTTCGCCGGTACACCGCTGCTCCACACTTTCTGGTTCCACAGGGCTCGCGGTGCTGGGGACAAATCTCTCCAGCCCCCCCCCAAACCCAGAGGCTAAGGACAACAGGCCTCCGGTGGGTGGACGTTCCGGGTGGCTCCTTCCACAGGTCCGCAGTCCCCAGGGCTTATGTGCCGTAAAGGGCTGCAACATGTCGAACATGAGTGTGTCGTCTTGTACCGCCATTCCTGGGCATAGTGTGATGGGTGTTCACGCCCCTTAAGGTCTGGCCGGAGGATCGCCATCTTTGGCTGAAACTTAGGTTGCGGGACAACCCCCACCATTACAGGGGGGGGAGCGGGACCGGGCCGTTACTTGCTGTCAGCTTCATGTCCCACAGGGCTATCGGGAGCAGCCACAGGCACATTTAGGAGTAGGCAGTCATGTCCCACCGTTGCTGTTTATCAGGGCCTCGGAGTGGAGCCCGGAGGTAGGCCTGAGACGTCGGCAGGCTTGGTATTTCTGTGTTACAGGGCCCCAGCCAGGATCACCTAATCTCTGGTGGGTTCCCACAGGTATAGGTAGCGATGGTTAGTAGTCTGCTGGACACTTTTGGCAGTAAATCACCATCTTTAGAGAGCGGGGACCGGAGCGGAGGAAGATGGCTGCCGCTCCGCTCGGCCCCGCCCCCTAAAGTTGTAATCTTTTCTTTATTTACTTGTAGTCTTGTGGATATATCTTTTAGCTGATTTTTAAGCTCTTCAGAATTTTTATTAATTTGGTTATTGCTTCAAGTTGCGTTTCTAAACAGTTTTTCAGGAAGTCTGCTGTAATATAATTTTCGGTTTCTCTAGAAGAACTTTCTTATTGATTTTTCGCATCTTGATGAAGAGAGAGAGATATTGTCTTGTTTTTTTCTTTTGTCAGTTTACTTACTAGTGAAAAAAAACTTGAGGGTTCTTTTTCAGATTTTTGTTCCTTTTTTTGCAGGCATCTTCTCTGTAAATTTAGTTGATAGATCTTTCTGTTGAAGTCAAGTGATGAAAGCCAAGCAGGAGGTAACAATCTTGAGTAGCTTGTTTAGTATGTCTACCCTTATTTATTGTAATATTTTTCACAATTTCGTCCTTTTACTGATCAAGTTTACTTCTCTCAAGATTGTGAAACTATGTAATAGTGTGTTAACTTTTTTCCCACTTTATTTCTCTTCCATCTCCTATCTGCTTGTCCTTTTTCTTCTTCCAGTTGTTCACTACAATCTTGCCAGACTAACCAGGAACCACCATTTCAGTTTGTTTAAAAACAATTAATCTCTTGCAGCTTCTGCTTTTCCTTTGCACTACTTGCTACAATCTAGCCAAAACTGCCATTGGACATCAATTAAGTTGTTTTAAAACAGTTAAGCTCTTGCCACTGACCCTTTTTTCCCTTTGCAGTATTTGCTGCAATCTTGCTGAAGAAATGATAAACAGCCAAATAACATTTTTAAAACAATTGTTCACGTGCAAAAAAATTTTTCATTCCCCCCCACCCTTTGCAATCCTTACCCTTACTGTATTCCTGCCAAACTAACATTGAACAGCCATTTAGTGTTTTTGAAACAATTAATCTCTTGTATGTACTTATCTTTGAAGAGCAACTTGATTGCTGTAGGCTTCTGCTGGCAAGAATTCGCTTATATTGTGAGAATGTTTGAGCTCAGCTCTACCTGAAGCAATAACCACTCAAGTATAATAACATCCGTTCCCTCTTCGCACACTGCTTCGTTCTCCTTGTACCCGTAAATCGTCTCTCTGGTCACATACTCGTGCTAGATGATTTCCTTGCTGCTCGCAGTCATTCCATCGCCTAAGCTCTGCCTTGATTCCATTTCTAAAATGGTTATTCTGACATTTCTACCTTGGTGCATTTTTTCAGTCTCTCGCTAATGTGCCAAAAATATAACATTCACTATTTTTGAAGCACCAGAATTTTCAGAGCTAAAAGATAGAACTACTAACAGATGAAAAATGTCAGTGTACACCATCATAAATGGGGAAAGTAAATTACAGCATAACGTTAGTGCTGTGCATTTATATGGCAGATGTCTGCACAGTAGTTATTACAGATGAGCTTGGTTTATTTAATGACACTGTACAGTTGCATAGATTGTCACAAAGAAAAAGGGACATACATTGTTAAATAGCACAATATCAACAAAAGGCATTAGGTGAATTTACGTTTAAAGAACTTTTTAATATATGCATTTGGCTCATATGCCTGGCAAACTAGCGGCAAATTCAAGCAATAAAAATAAATCAAATGGAAAAACAACTCTTTTTACATCAGTTATCCAGGACTTGAAATTAGTGGAACATACATAAAGGTTATTACATAAAAATAAAAACCATATGTCATGCACGGTTTGAAAGTAAAGTATATTACACACTTTTGAGAAAGGTAGTTTATCATAAAAACAAAAAAAAAACACGCAGAGGAATCTTAAAATCCTATATACTTTTTGTTTTATATGAAAATACGTTATGTGTAACATTATTATTTCTGGATTTTGCTAATGAGGTATTTAGGGCTTTTTCACAAAATAAAGTTGTGGTAAGGTACCCAACACCAGAAAAGCAGAGCTGGAAAATCCTCTAACAATTTTCTTCATTTTAGATTACAGTCTTGAAACTTGCTTGTTAATTCACTGTGTGCTCAACATTTGACTGAGTAAATCTCTTTTTAATTTTTGTTGCAGGTGGAAGGAATACTCCAAGCATCATGACGACTATAGCCTCAGGCAATGAGCCAGCCCTGCACTGTAGAGCTTAGCTTAGCGGACCTAAAGGCACCATTGGAGGCTGCAACAGGTGTCCAGCAGCACTCAATCTTAAATGGCAAGACTAATTACGTTGGGATGGCCCCATGCTGTGGTTATGGGGCTTGGAGTGTTCATCTAACCATATATATTCTACACACATACTTTTATAAGTAGATGATGACCTTTACTGTAAACTCACTTGAAGTATCTCCAACTCCTCCTTTATTGGTATATAGAAATATGACTTAAACGATAGGTGTCAATTAACTAATACTTAAATTGTACAGCTTTACAGAATAGGTTGTTATCCAATTAAAAAATAAAATATATCTTGACTTGGTTTCTTCAACAGGAACCTGGTGAACAGTCAACATAATATAAATTTGACATACATATTATAGTTAATTATTACATTGGTTAAATTTAAATATTATATGGTAACATTTTCAGCTTTAAGACGTGGGACTCTGCTTAAATTATTATTTCTGTATTTCATATCCAGTATTTACAATTATACAAAGTGTGATTTAGATCATAGTGAAAAGTCCAGTAGTACATGCTAGAAGATAAGGAGCAGCACGTGTCAACAAGAGTCTAATTACACAGATGAATCAGCCTCTTCCACACACAGAATCATAAGTCACATGCTATGCCAAAGTAAACAATTGTACAGGCCCAGAGGCCATGCTAATAAAAGTAATGTAGCAGTGCTTCTGATATAACTGGAGCAACAGACAGACATAATCCATCACTGTGGTGAAAAGTAAGGACTCAACGATGCCTTCCTTCTAGTAAAGACGCAAAGTCTGGGGAACATACAAGCTTGTGCTGAACATGGCCCAAAACCATCATCTCTCCACTTCGAGCTTCACCCACACTAACTGACACCAGCTCCTGCCAGAGGGAAAAAAACAGATGTAACATATATCTAAGTCATGCAAGAATACAGAAATCTTCTCAAGCAGAGTAGGCTGGAAAACATTTTCATGAACAAATCTTATAAAACGTGATTTATAAATGGAAAAGATGGTTGGCATTGTCTTCACTAAAACACTACTAATCTTATGTCAAAAAAGAAAAAAGTTTTGTCTATTAACTAGCACTAATATATCACAATGTCAGCTTCACTATAATAGAAACAATGGAAGCTACACAAGACCGTATTTTATGGATTTACGTATTATTTCAAGAACTTATGAGTCAGCATTGTTGAAAAATCATATTTATTATGCAGAACCCTGGTCACAAAACTACAGCTACAATTTGCCATAACAAAATAAAATAAACTGTAACTAATGATTTACTACTGTAATCATTATCCTGAAACAATCATCTGGGGATGCAGTGTATCATTTGAGGGAGCATATCAATTTAATAACAAAGTGGTTCAGGTAATCTCAGAGTGAGCTAAAACTAATTTGAGAACTGAGCTGGGACCCACCAAAGGGCAGGTATTTGACTTCTAGTGTTATTTTCTTGTGCTACACTTTTGTTTGTTTGCTAATAACAAGGAATGCATTAAAGGGCCAAATGCATGGTGAAAGAGAATGACACAGATAAAGTTTCCAGACAGGAGTAAAGTGATAGAAAAGACAAACCTAGTCTAAAAGAGAGAATTAACTTACCTGCAGAAAAGAACAGGTTGTCCCCATTGTGACATCAAGGGTGACCTTGCCCAATACAAGCTGTATCTTGCCAGATTTGCGTACAACTAGCTTTCCAATTTGGCCCTCAGACACATCCCGAAGAGAGCAGCTGTCATCCGCCTCCTGTGTTTCCTACAATACAATAAACAATTACAGTTCAGTAACCAATTCCAAAAATCATAAATGTCTCCATTCTAGGGACAAGAGAAATATCAAACCTGCTTCCCAAGAAACAAACATTTGATCCAACACACATGAGCCATTACTGTTTTTTTTTAATTTTTTTATTCTTTATTTGTGTTTGACATATCAGCGACAGGATAAGACAGTATGTCCCCACTACTTAACATATAATCGTGCCCAAACAATGCATGCTTGCTGGAAGTACAGGCGCACCCAATGGATGAACAGTAGGGAAGGTAACGGTACATGGCCAATTACATATCTAAAGTAGAAAGCGCCCCAACGAGGGATACATACGTCATTAAAAAACCGTCAAATTAACATTGTACTTTGTACAGTCATGAGGTAGAAACGGCCAGGATCGGTGTAGGGCCCTTAGAGGTAACCAGAAGCGTCTACTCTACATCTTACTAAAGAACATTGCGTAGATGTATGATCGTGTGTTCTTGCGGGATACCTTTGGAGCTACCGTATATACTCGAGTATAAGCCGAGTTTTTCGGCACATTTTTTGTGCTGAAAAACCCCAACTCGGCTTATACTCGAGTCAGTCTGTATTATGGCAATTTACATTGCCATAATACAGACTGGGGGCTGGCAGAGCTGTTACTTACCCCTGCTGCAGCTCCTGTCAGCTCTCTCCTCTCTCTCCTCCTCCGCGCCGGTCCGTGCAGCACCTCGGTCAGCTCCCAGTGTAAGTCTCACGAGAGCCGCGGGGTCATAGTGCGGCTCTCGCGAGAGTTACAGTGTGAACTGACAGAGGTGCTGCACGGACCGGCGCGGAGGAGGAGGGAGCTGACAGGAGCTGCAGGAGAGGTAAGTAACAGCTCTGCCAGCCCCCCTCCTCCTCCCACTGAACTGCCAATGCCACTGGACCACCAGGGAAGGAGAGCCCCCCTCCCTGCCATGTATCAAGCAGGGAGGGGGGACAAAAAATAAATACATTAATAATATATAAATAATAATAAAAATAATAATAATAAAAAATAATTTAAAAAATAATAATATAACAAAAAAAATTAAAATAATAATTTATTTATTTTTTATAAAAATGCCCACCCCCCCACCAAGGCTCTGCAACACAAACACACACTGCATCACACACACACTGCATCACACACACACTGCACTCATACACACACACTGCACTCATACACACACACTGCACTCATACACACACACTGCACTCATACACACACACTGCATTTATACACACACTGCGCACTCATACACACACACTGCATTCATCATATACACACACTGTAAATAAATATTCAATTAATATAATTTTATTTAGAATCTAATTTTATTTAGAAATTTACCAGTAGCTGCTGCATTTCCCACCCTAGGCTTATACTCGAGTCAATACGTTTTCCCAGTTTTTTGGGGTAAAATTAGGGGCCTCGGCTTATATTCGGGTCGGCTTATACTCGAGTATATACGGTACTTAGGCCCGAGCCATTACTGTTAAAAAGGAAACTGTAGGAAAACAACAGAAAGAATCATACCTATTGAACAAACTTTTAAAAATATTTAAAATATGTACTACTAATTTCTAAGACGGGTTCCTTGTCCTAGGTATTTATGTATCAGGTTTCATTATGTATGTTACTATAGGGATGCATGGACATATCTCTTGGGGTCTTCTAGACATTATTTGTCTGGCTCATAGGGGGTGTTAGTAATGGGTAAGGTCTGGTCCAGTTTAATATTAAATACATTGAAATCAGGTGGACAAAGAACTTTTTGCAGGCACGTCCCAAGACTTAAGGCTCCAGCAAGCACAATTTGCGCATCTACCACAAATACAAGTAATCTGTAACCCAATAAGCTCAGTCTCCCAACCACTAGTCAAGTTTCACCTTCATCATTGGTCAAGCCTAAACAAACTGAACTGAGGGATAAACAAAATATTCATAGGTCAAGCCAAGGTGTGCAACAACATCAATGCAGGCAGGTGCAGTTTTAGATACCTTGATTGCTAAATAAACTGATATTGGATTCACAATAGGCCTCTTTCATCAAAGTTTATTTTCAAGAGCAATCACCCGACAGTGGTGGCCATTGGTCAATTCAACAATAAAAAAGGATTGATGATTTAGCTCTATGCTCTGCATTCTTCCTCTGCTCCCAGTATTAATTCTCTGATTCCGTCAGAAGAATTCTCCCTCTAATACATTGAATGCAGGGTTAGGTGCTTAGCTCAGGAAGACATATTTGCAATGCTTTTAAATTACTTTTATTCATCTTTTACTATGTCACTTGCATGACGTAAGGTAGAAGGGCCAGTACTATTTTGCTACCAGACTCACTCTTTGAACAAAAGGAAGTCTCAAATGTATATATGTTTTTGCTGAGACTCTGTGCTGGCTCTTATTTAAAACAGTACAGTAATTAACTCAATTATCTCCTAAGCAGAGGGGAGGGATTGTGTGAAATGTATGGGAGTGACTTTTTACCTGACTCCGTGTTTATTGGTTGTTTTCTGTTTTTACCTGTGCCCAGCAAGGTCCACCTGGGTGATGGCCTTTTGGGAAAAACCTGCATAAAAGGCCAGCCTGGCCATTAGAGGTGCAGTTCTGCTCCTAATACTGAGTGTCGTCCAGTTACTGGGAAGGGTGATGGGATATTCATGGATTATATTATGCTTATGCCTGCCTTTTTGAATCATCCTGTTTGTTCCCGAGTAGCTGCTAGAGTAACCAGCGGAGAAGAAGCCCTGCTATCACTAGCTCTCCGCTACAAGTACATTGTTGTATATAAATAGATACAAAGGAGGAGCAGGTCATCGGTTTGACAAAGCTCTACTAGTGGGCAAAACGCATCAGTGACCCCATCATTACATCACCATGTCCATCCGAAACACAGAACTTGTGGGAAGCTTGCCCAAGCCAACTAAGGGAAAAGAATAAGGGGCGTGGTGAACTTAAAGATTAAGAACTTGGTACTTGAGTGCAATAGTGTTTCAAAAGGTAAAAAAATTAAAAAAAAATTGCTGTAGAAACCACAATTTTTGAAACAAGAAATAATGGCTGCATAACAGAACGGCAAAGAAATTGAAAATAGCCATTTAAGTATACAGAATATAGCAGGCCTAAACTTATGTTAAGTTGTGGAAATAAACAGAAGAAATAAGAGGTCAGCCAGAATGTTGTGCCTAGAACAGTAATGGCTAACCTTGCCACCATAAATGATTTCTGGACTACATTTCCCATGATGCTCAGCCAGCTTTTAGAGTCTAAAAGCTAACTGAGCATCATGGGAAATGTAGTCCAGAAACAATTATTGGTGTCAAGGTTATCCATCACTGGCCTAGAAGAAAGGTAAAATTGTCATATCGCACTTATGGTAGAGTTTGTAGAATCAAGGAGAGAGTGTAGCTTTCAGAACCAGGCGGTGATACAAGTATACAGAACAGTGCTAAACCGTATCACGAACGAAGCTTCTCTGGCGTGGACATGCTGGAACCTGGTACAACGTGCACATTAGAGCAGATATTCCATTGGTGATCACATGGCAAAAGCAGGTCCGCCGAAAGTCCCAATCCATGAATAAAAGGTAGGAGTTGTATATTTTGCACACTATAACAATCAGGTACCCTTGATAAAGGCAGCCAGTTGGTGCCGAAACATTGGGGGGTTTGGTGACTCATGTTTCTGTCTTAAGGTTTGTAAGAATTTTTGTGGTAATTTATTATTGTTTTATTGTGTTTGCCCTTGCTTCTGTCACTTTGTTTATCTTTTCTTATATGTTTTCACTCTGGTACTTTTTTGTACATAATAAAGCTAAGTTTTTTTGAGATTGTTATAGTGTGCATTCTATATTCTATATACATTTGAATATTTAAAGCACTTGAGGGAGTGTTTATATGGTTTGCACCTGGCTGTTCTTATACTATTTTGTCTCTCCATGTGCTGTTGGTTTGAGAGGAGTTGTATATTTTACCATTCTATCAGCAGCCCCTGGGATCCCTAGTAAGCAAACGGATGGACTGTCGTCACATGACTGTCTAGATAAGTCCCTGAAGAAGGGGAGTTGTGACCCTTTAAATAAAGTGGCACTCATTAGCATTGCCCTCTCAGAGTCTTTCAGGAATATAGCAAGTACATCTCTGAAAGCCTCCCGAGGTGCCCTTGGCCTTTTGGTCATCCTGAAACAACTTTCCAGCAAAAGTAGCTTAGCCTATTTGGGCGGTAAAAGCATGAAGAAATAAAAAAAATACATTTTAAAAAACCAGCAGCAGAGATAGTGTAGGCAGTCTTCATTGAGAATGCTCTCAGGTACCACTCTAATCAGGATATTGTGGACTCTGGTTCTGTCTTACAATGTAACCACATATGAGGTTAATGCTGCATAGTTTTTCTGCAAGGTATTAACTGATGAATCTGTAGCCATTTGAGACACTTTTACAGTCTATAATTAGGCATAAAGCGCAGAGGTTGAATCAGACACGCTCATCTTGAATGAGTACTGTCTCCAAACCCCACAATAGTGGGTTTAAAACATTGTTGGGTCCACCAGCATTGGCATAAGCCAGTGGTTCCCAAACCACTCCTCAAGGAACCACTAACAGTCCAGGATTTAAGGATTAGGGACTAGTTTGGGAACCACTTTTAGGAGCCATTTATTTTATACAGATTTTTTATTTTCACAAGAGAAAAAAGAAAAATACATACTGTATGTATTATGAATAAGCAAGACAAAGCTGGCAGGCAGCAAATTACAGAATAAGTGTGAACAGAAATTTGTATAGCACATTAATGATAGGAAGGCTCATTAAAAGGAACACTAGTGTCAGTAATGGGATGCAAAAAGTTTAATAAGCAGTTCCAACTTTTTATATGTTTGCGGCTCCACACAGGGCCGGCCCAAGATTTAAATACTGCCCCTCCCCCTGTCATGCACGCACATACAAGCACCTTGACACAGTCACACATGTACACCCTAGGGGGAAATCTATTTAGTGGCCCATAGTGCAATTTTACCAACCCACTTGTTAACATCAGCGATAGACACAAGTAAACTAGATGTGTTGATACACATTCAAGATAATTGAATAGAAAGAATTAAAGTGCAATGCACTATGGCAATTAGATGTGGAAAGTGGTTAGAGAGCAGCCCAGGTAGAAGTTGCCCTGCCTACTTGACACTTTGACATCGCTACTCTATAAGGGAGATCTCTCTAACCAGTAAGTTCCCCTGGCATCTGGAGCCTGGGTTTTCCAGGACGGAACATCCAGACGATCAGCACTCTGGTAAGACACCGGTGCATGCGCACTAGACGAGGCCGGATTTCAAGACTTTTTGCCCTTTTCCCAAATGGCAGAGTTGCGGCCAATCAGCGCAGGCGCGCTTCCTTAAAGGCACAGAGTGGGAAATTTGAAACGGCGGGAATACTAAAGAAAACCCTTGTTTCTTTTCCCTTAAAGTTACAGTGCTCTCTAGTGCTACTTACAAAATCTGCAGGTATGGATTATACCTTTGAAAGAATAATACATTTGACAGCACAGAAATTGCTAAAGGTACACTTGCCTTTTTATTTAGCCCTGCTTCTAGTATGGAACCAGCATCTCCATCTTCAAAGTCAGCAAGATCTATAATAGGTCACAGGTGAGCATTTAGTTTTTTTTAATAAATTTACTGTTCTACAAAAAGAGTGCATGGCGTGTACAGTCATATGACTTCTGTGTCTTGCAGCACTCAAGACCTGTCTGGCCCGAGATCTCCATCTAGGAGAAGGGGTAAACCGGCGGCCTGCCCAGGATGTGGTGCAAGACCCTTGGATAACTGCAGGCTATGCCGTAAATGTTTATCAATAATTGCAGGAGAGTCGGAACATCAGAAAACTCCTCAAGCTTCTACCTCTTCAGCCCAAGACATAGTTTACTGGATGAAGCAAGCAGTGGTAGAAGGGACCTCAGAATCAGCAAAGGTAAAAGGCCCAGATGTAAGAGCTTTGTCCGGGATTCAGACCAGTCTGACGATGACTTCAGACACACCGCTGGCTCTCTGGAATTTGAACCCACCTCATCTAGTGAGGAAGAGTTCATGGAACAGCCATGGTCTTTAGACTCAAAAGCTATAGAGCATTTGATTATGGCTGTCAGGAGAACTTTGGACATACCAGAAGAAGTCAAAGAATTTTCAGCTTCTGACAGGCACTTTGGAGACTTACACAAGAGAAGATCTCTTATGTAAGTCTCCAAAGTGCCTGTCAGAAGCTGAACATTCTTTGACTTCTTCTAGTAAATCCAAAATATCTATTAAGGATCTGATATGCTCAGAATGGAATAATCCGGGAAAAAGGGATTACCAGTCACGGTAGACTTTCCAAATTGTACCCAATAAAGGTGGAAGATTCAAGAATGTGGACAGCTGTCCCAAAGATTGATGTTCCAATTATTAAGATAGCTAATAGATCCACGCTTCCTATTGACAGCAATGCTTCACTAAAGGAACCCGTGGATAAAATAATAGACGCAGACCTTTCTAAAGTCTTCATGACAGCAGGTCTAGGATGCCATCCAGCTGCAGCTTTATCCAGAGCGTTGCGTTCCTGGATTCTTAATTTGGAAGAAGATATGGAGAAGCGAGTGAGTAGACGTCAGATGGCAGAATCCTTAAGGGATATCAAGCTGGCCAGCGACTTGCTATTGGAATCTTCCACGGATCTCATAAGAATCCTTTCAAAAGTCATGGCACACTCCATTATTGCCAGAAGGGCACTGTGGTTAAGGTCCTGGGGGTGCAGACCTCCACTCCAAAAACAAATTTACGTACCCTGCCATTTTTGGGAGAGGTATTTTTTGGCTTATCACTGGAAGAGGCTATTACAAAAGCAGCTGAGGTAAAACAGGTCATGCTTCCGCAAGACAGACGACCAAAGAGACCGCAACAGGATCATCGACCTTACAGGCTTCAAGGTGGTTATAGAGAAACCAAAACATAGAGACCGGCAGAGAATATACTCGACACTCCAATTGGAAGAGCGGTCAGAACTCTAAGTCTTCCAGAAACAAGACTCAGACCTCTTCCTTTCGCCCCAACAAGCAATTCTGAATGTGGCTTACACCAAGTACCTGATGTAGGAGCACGTCTTTCGTTCTTCCAGGGGGCTTGGGGAGTTATTCCAGATGAATGGGTAAAATCCATAAATCACCGGAGGTTATTGTCTGGAGTTCGAGGATTCTTCTCCTCCACCAAGGTTCCTCAGGACAAGGCTTCCTACCAACAGACAGAAAAAAGAGGTCTTGAAGTCATTATTCCTGTACCTGTGCAAGATAGGTTCCAAGGGTTATATTATCCCCTGTTTTTGGTCAAGAAACCAGGAAGGAAATGGAGACATATCCTGGATCTCCATCAGCTCAACCTTTCCTTAAAAGGTAAGAAGGTTTCGCATGGAATCCATCCGTGCCATCATTCCAGTGGTTCACCACAGGAATTGGTTAATATCTGTCGATCTAAGGGATGCATATTTCCATGTTCCCATCACTGCCAAACATCAGAAGTTTCTCCGACTTTGTGTCAAGAGAGACCACTTCAAGTTTCAGGCTTCTCCCTTAGGGATAAGTACAGCCTCAAGGACATTCTCGAAGATTCTGGTCACCGTTATTGCTCTTCTCAGAAGGAAAGATGTTGCAGTTTTTAACTACCTCAACGACATCTTAGTAGTTGCACCAGACTTCAAGACCATGCTTCCGCACCGACATCTAGTCCTAGAGACATTCTCTCAGTTCGGGTGGTTCAACCACGAGAAGAGTCAATTACATCCGAGAAGAGAACTGGTATTCTTGGGAGCAAACTTCAATACCAGCACAGCGATAGTATCTCTCGCACACGACAGGAAAATTGTCCTACAAGATCGGAGCTTCAAATCAAAAAACTTCAGCACCTGCGAGAGAATTTATGATGCTTCTAGGTACTTTTTCCTCAACAAGAGACCTTGTCAGATGGGCGCAATGGCATCTTTGTCCTCTTCAACACTTTTTCCTGAAGAATTTCCGAACCAGCTCGAGTGACTGGGAAAGGTTGATCCGCATTCCTCTCCATCTGAAAAAGAAGCTTATTTGGTGGCTATCTTGGGAAAAACATTTCCAGGAGTTTTCCTTTGAGTGAAATAGATTGTGTGTTCATCACAACAGATGCCAGTCAGTACGGATGGGGAGCACATCTGGGAAAATTATTCTTCCGAGCAAGATGGCCTTCAAGGACTCAGAACCTGCCTTAAAACATAAGGGAACTGAGAGCAACATTTCTGGCACTACTCCACTTCCAACACCTTATCTGGAATTCCTGGATCAAATTGAGGGTAGATAACAAGGCGGCTGTTGCTTCTATCAATCATCAAGGAGGGACCAGGAGTGTATCTCTAATGAGAGAAGTGACTGCCATCATGAACTGGATCCAGTTACATGTAGAAGGCTTGTGTGCAATCTATCTTCTGGGAAAGGAGAATGTTTTAGCAGACTTTCTCAGCAGACACCAGATAGAGGCAACAGAATGGCAACTTTCGAAGACAGTCTTCCAGCAATTGGTCCAGAGGTGGGGACTTCCCCAAGTGGATCTCATGGTGACTGCTCAGAGCGCACAGGTTCCGTGCTTTGTGTCAAGGAGTTACTATGCGAAGGTGATAGGTCAGAATGCCCTATAAATCAAATTATCTTTTCATCTGGCTTACATTTTTCCTCCCATTCCTCTAATTCACACTGTTGTGAGGAAGATTTCCAGGGAACGTTGCAAGGTGATAGCAGTAATCCCCTTATGGCCACGTCGACCTTGGTTTCCCCTTCTGTAAAGACTAGCAAGTCTCCAAGGATCTGCTGACTCAAGACCCTGTGTTGTATCGGGAACCTCACAAATTCAGGCTCTAGGCATGGCTATTGAAAGGCAATTCCTAATTGAACAAGGCTTATCGGATCAGGTGGTCTAAACCCTTTTATGTTCCAGGAAAATTTCTACGTCCTCTACTTATCAAGAGATCTGGGAGGCTTTTGCTTTATGGAGAAACTCCACGGCCCCGGATTTAGGTGTTCCTACCATATCTCAAGTTCTGGGTTTCCTACAAGCAGGCTTGGAGAAGGGTCTTAAGCTTAACACCCTTAAATGTTCAGCCATTTCTGCACTTTCTTGAATTCGATAGGCCACGCATCCTATGGTGGCTCACTTCTTCTGTAATACGAATTAGACCGCCTATTAGAAAATCCACTGCTCCATGGAGTTTACCTCTGGTGCTACAGGCTTTGACGGATCCTCCCTTTGAGCCTATTGGTGAAATTCATATGCAGGTCCTTTCTCAGAAGACCCTGTTGTTACAGGCATTGGTCTCAGCTAGAAGGATGTCTGACATCAGAGCACTATCATCAGAAGAACCTTACACTACCTTCTTCGATGATAGGGTTGCTCTGCGTCCAAGACCAGAGTAGTTACTGTGACTTAACGCCGTCACCAAGTGCCATGCCTACATATGGGCCCTGTAAAAACCATGTAAAAAGACTCAGTTTGTGTGATTTCCCTGATTTATTTTTAGGGTTCTTATATGTGTGGGATGTAGATTCAATAGTTTATGTTTTATGATCTGTAACTCTAGTGCCTGGGGGATAATTGGGTTAAGCAAATGTCTCTTTTGGATATGGTATTAAATCAAGGGTCTCCTGTTACTGGAAGGCTTGATCATTACTATATCAAATGACTTCCTGTCTTAGAGGCAAGCCAGACATATGGCAGATGTGAGCTCAGACTTCAAGGACACTGCTGTGTGACTTCCCACACCCTGCAGAAAAACTCTGCTGTGGTCTAAGCTTCAACTACTCTAGTAAGCTAGGACATTCCATGCAATCAATTAACCTTTTTTGAAATATTAAAAGGTGTGTGGGGGTTTGGAAACTGTAGATTTTATGTACCTGAGAGAGGACTGAATACTCTCTCAGACACAGAGGATCATGGGAGGGATGACCCAGTAAAGTTGTGTTGGAAACTCCTTGCATGGGGCTATGCATAAAAGCTGTGTGTTTCAATAAAGCATTGTCAGTGTTGTAACCACCAGAACTAGGTCTTGTCCAGTTACTGGGGGGAGGAGGGGGAGAAAGGGTTAATCCCTGGGCCAGCTTGTCATAGCTGGTGGAAGATGCAGCGGGGAGCTCCCAGGACTGAGTGCTGTCCGGCCCCTGGGAGCGCAGAGAGCTAGTTCCCCTATCCGTTCCCCTGTTCCAGCTAGGTAACTGGAGCTCTGCTACAGTTACCTCCTTTCACCTTAATCAGGAAATTGTCCTGCCTGCCTATTTTCAGAATCCTTCTACTCCTGAAGAACTAAGGTGTTACAAGCTAGACCTTAGGAGGTGTTTATCTACGTATAATGAGCGTTTAGCTGATTGGAGACGATCTTCTTAACGGTTTGTGATCCCATGGGGTTCTCGCAAATGTGAAGCTGCTGCAGTTTCCACTCTCTGTTCCTGGACGATTTCAGCTATTTCTAAGGCATATAAGGCAAAAGATGTACCTATTCCCAAAGACATCAGGGCGCATTCTACAAGGTCCATTGCTATGTCATGGGCTGCAGAGTCGGGAGTTCCTCCAGAGAGCATCTGTAATGCTGCCTATCGGTCATCACTAAATACCTTTGTGAAACACTACAAGGTTGATGTGTCTTCTCGCTCGGATTATGAGTTCAGCCTGTCTGTTCTGAACTCCTATAATCCTCAAATATGATGTATTAAAATATTTTTTTGTAGCATGTTTCACCCTCCCTGTGTTATTATTGCTTGGGGAATCCCATATGTTAAATGCTGCCATGATTAGCCATGAATACGGAAAATGTAATCATACTTAACGTAATTTTCTTTCCTGGCTATTATTCATGGCAGCATTTGGTTTTCCCACCCTCTCTTGGTTTTCTTGTTACTTGACTGAGGAGTGGAAGCTACTGGTGTCCCTATTATACCAGGGGAAGGTATGCTTAATTGTTTGTGTTTCCTGTCCTGGGGGTTGTGGGAGGAGCTAAACTCATATGTTAAATGCTGCCATGAATAATAGCCAAGAAAAGAAAATTACGGTAAGTATGAATACATTTTCTGTAATGCTTTCAAAAAGCCTGTCAGTGCATTTAATGTCTCTGAGACCATCATATAGAAATAGAGTTTTACTCTGCTATTTCATTAAAAACGCTTCTAGTGGGTGTCTAAATGATAGCCACTAGAGGCATTTAAACTTTGCAATGAAAACATTGCCATTCTGCAGACAGCAATGTTTTCAGCTGCAGGGTTAAAACAAGGGCGACACGGCAGTTAGGCCTTAACCCCCTAAGGGCGTTCTATGACGTCCTTTTAGGGTGGCTCTCAACGCCGGCGGGCGGCATAGAACGTCCCGCTGTCCTTATTACTTACTCACTCGATCGCAGACGTTCCCCGACTGGCGCTCTGCTGTTCCCCCGGTAAATTAGGCCATGTGATCAATAAAAATATATATACTCTCAGTATAATAGTATTAACTATTTGAGGAAAAACTGCTAATATAGCTAAGTGGTTAAATATTAATTACCTATCACCTTTATTAGCTAGCCTCCACTAACATTTAGATACTGGAGTGAATCTTTGCAACAGAAATTAAAATTTCTCTCTGTTTTTTGTTAATTGGATCATAAGTTAACCATTTGAGATCCCCACATACTTTGGCCATTTCTAATAAAGCCTATACTGACGGGGTTATCTCTGAGCTAACTTTCAGTCAGAGAAAAGCTTCAATAGCTTTTGTACTCACTTTGCCTCTTTTACTGTTTGGTTTTGAGATAAGTGTAAAAATGCAAATGCTTTTAACCAATATCCAGTTAATTTCAGCATTCTAGACTTCACTTTTTGTTCAGCTGTGAATGAGGATATTTTATCTTTGTATCTAAAGAAACAAGATCTTCAATCAAGTCAAGATAAATATTTTTTTTAACGTTTTTCTTGTGATGTCGACTTCATATCATTTAATTTTTTTTCTAGATTATTTTCTGACACTCCTGTCCGAGCTCTGAATTCAGAAGTGGTGCAGTTATTTAAGCCACCTAGTGAATCAGTTTGTTTCCAATAAAAAAAAAAAAAAAATAGACCTGTGACTTATTTCAATAAACAACATATCCATGCTTCTAACTATATATATATATATATATATATATATATATATATATATATATATATATATATATATATATATATATATATATATATATATATATATATATATATATATATATATATTTTTTTTTTTTTAATTCTTTATTTTGGTTGTGCAGGTGATTACAGGATATCAACGAACGCCACAACAACGTATTTCAAGATTGACAGTAGTTTGGTAGTGGCATAGTAATTTGCACATTTTTATATTTTATATCGTGCTGAACTAAATGGTTATGTTTTTTGATTTGAAGCTCCGATCTTGTAGGTCAAAATATGATTAACTAGAAGAAGATAAAATAGATTAATCAATGCCTAACGTTGTTTACATTGGCCTACGTGTTATGCATACTGATGAACACATACAGCTTAAACTCCGCCAATGAAACTGCACTATCGCTGTCTCACAAAGGATAACATCAGGGGTTGGTCAGAGAGGGCATATGTCAAGCTGTTAGCAGCTTTGAATAACATGCTGAGATGCTTAAGTGTACCACTGACCAGTTGAAACATGCAAACTTTAACATGACTTAAACATATCTAAGTTCTAGGCTGGTTCCTTTACTGAATGAAACAATGCATACATATCTAGCCTAAGAGACTCAGGCCCTTAGATTATATTGACTCCTTTTTAGCTAGTTTTACAGGTTGACTGACTGTTGAGCCATAGTGAGTCCCTGCCAGTCTGTATTGTAAGTTGGTCAGCCGATGCCCACGGCTGGCAGGCCGCCGCTCCAGGCCGAGAGTGCTCCTTTAAGAGAGCGTGTGTGCTGCCAGACCCGGAGTTCTCTGCATCGATGCACCGGCGTCAGGTATTTTAATCTCCGGCTCGGGTCTGAGCCCCTGGGTCCTTTCGGTGCCTGTGGTTGGCTCTGTGGTGCGTGTTTCTTCCTCCATGGCGAGTTAGTCGCAAGGGGTCGGTCTCTGCCCGGTCGGGTTGTGGTGAGGTCATGGTGAGCTGAGTAGGCGGATTTGCGTAGGCGCCATGCTCTCCAGGCACCTGGATAGGGAGCTTGTTTTTGTGCGGTCGGGCATCCATTGCTTTTGTGCGGGTGGGGGACCAGGGAAGTTTGTCTGGGGCGCTTATGGGTGTGGGTTCTCAGTGAGGCTGAGTATTGCTTGGGGTGTATGGCATCAGGTGGTGCGTGTTGTGGCTCACCTACATGCCGCCCTTTCGTTCTCGTGTATTTCAAAGGTGTGTCTTTCTGCTCCCCATGCCCTTGGTTCCGCATGCCCTGGGGTGGCGGTGCTTGCGGTTTTACCTGAGGCATTTGCATCAGGTCTAATAGCTTTGTCCAGAATTGGTCAAAGGCTGCATCCAGGCGCTGCTGAGTGTCGCTGCAGTTCTCTGTCCCTTGTGTGTGGTTTCTCATACTTGTCGCCGCCATCTTATGCAGGCCATGTGCTTGGTAGCCCTTCTGTTGCTTTTCTGTGATCTGCGGTTTCAGGCGGCGTCTGTCTCTCTGGTTGCCCATGATGGACCGAGATGACCCCCATCGGTCCAAAGGGGGGGGGGGTAGGAGTTGGGAACCCCTGGAGGTCCATACTCAGGTCTGCAGCGTGGTGAGCGGCCGTCTCTCCACTGCCCGATCTCTGGTAGGCCTCGGGTGGTAATGCAGGGTCTCGGTGGGTTACACGTTTGAGTTTGGCACCCAAGGGTTCACCCGGGTGTTCCCTACTTAATGGCTCCTCTCCTGCATGCTCTTGTGCCGTTTTTGGGGGGTTAATTCCCCAATTTGTGTCGTTGTGAGCAGGAGCCGAAGTGCGGCACAACCGTTCCGTTTGGATGCTAGGCCCCGCCCCCCCTTCTAACCATATATTGACTAAAATTTTTATCATATGAGCTTCTCAAATATAAGGCAACAGTAACAACAGCAGTATAATACAATCCCCCTCTACCAGAACAAACGTGAAAGGTATAAGACGGATTTGTAACCTAGAGTAACACAGATGTTTCACTATGCTAATTACAAAAGTAATGCAACATACCTGGCCTTTGTCCTTAACCAATAGCTGGTGACCATCCTCACTCTTTACTTCAGTCTTTATTGGCCGTGCCTCCTGAGTGAGCCGCTGCCCTGGAAGAGTGTCAGGAAGTTGAAGGAAGAAGAGACTCTCCTCTCCTGAAACCTTCAGGGATTCCAGTAAGTCAGGAAGGGGCACATCTTTCCTCTCTGGAGGCTTCTTTACCACTGGAGCTTTACAAGGGGGAAGACTTGGCTTCCACCCTGCATCTTCATCTTCCATTGGCTCTTCCTTGACTGGGGCAAACAAGCATATTCTATGACAATCCAGAAGTATTTCTTAGAATACCTTCCACTATTAATACAGACTATGAATTACTATAATTTCATATATTCTAAATTTATCCAATACACAGAAAATGTTCAGTAATAATTTAGTCAACATTGTGGCATCAGAATCTCTGGGCAGATACAACAAATTTTAAGGTTGCTAACCTTTGACCTTTCCAGGATCCACCTCCATCTGTTCCTCCTTGAGAATCCCAGGCAGAGGCTTTTTTTCCTCCTCTTCTTCATCATCATCATCATCATCTTCTCTAAACAGCCACCCAGAGTGTGCTAGTGGAAGCTGCACAGGCTGATTCTGAGAGTCATTCTTTAGCCCAGGGTCATCGAGGAACTTAAATAAGAAAGAAAAAACAAATCAACCAGAATTAAGGGAGAGAATAAAAAAGGCAAGCACAAAATGAAAAAGGATCTTTGTGATATACCTTGTCATTCTCCAGCATGCGCAGGATCTGCTTTGTTTCCTCTTCTGTTTCTCGTTTTTCTCGTTTTATGTTTATAATGTGAGATGGACCAAGGTCAGCAGATTCCGAGGGGCCATCCCATCCAGCTAGGTAAAAATCACGACATGGTTAAATGTAAGCTGCAGGTATCATTAAACAACACTTTAAGCATACACAAGGTTATTCCTTAAAATGCTCAGAAATTAACCTAAGAATTGCCAACATTAGTGTAAAAAGATCACTCAGACCCCTGCATCTCAAGGAAGTGTTCTGAGAGCATTGTTCCTGACATTTTAACCCTGCAATGTAAAACATTGTGCCCGCAGCAGCGAAGGGGATCGGACAAAAGGGAACCTATAGTTGTGAAAATGTAACTACGTCCATTTGTCTAATTTAACTATTTTAGCCTAAAATTTAATACACAAAATAAATGTGTGCCTTATAATGCTTATTCAAGCCCAAGTGTAACAAATTATTACACAATGAAATTATGCTAATTCTTACTTTTCTTCTTGAGCTGTTCTGCTGGCCCCTGTTCAAAGATCGAATGGCTCTGTATAACTTGAGGTCTCCCGCGTCCTCTTCCTGGTCCATCTCCACGACGATCCCTCCCTCGCTCTGTCCGTTCTACCTTTACAGCCACCTCTTCTTTCTGTCTGGGGACAGAAAAAAAATAAGAAAGGTTGGAGTGGGATGCAACTTGATATCTAATGTAAGTTAAGGATGAAACAAAATATATAGTAATTTAGACACGTGTAAACAAAACAAAGGAAACATGGTGACAATCAAACAATACATCAACAGAGGGATGGAATAGGTGACAGGAGGTATACAGACAATCAAAACAGACACAGCAACAGAAAGTGAGCAGCAAAATTCTTACTCTTCCTTTATTTTTCTGCTTATAATATTGGGAGCAAATGTTTTCTGGAAAAGAAAAAGAGAAGATACAAAAATAGGTCATTAACATCCTGAATTCTGTGTTACTTTACAGACAAGCTCCCATTTAGCACACTAGAGCTATCTGAGATCAGCTCACAACTTACTAGCAGCTACTCCAACTTGGAGAACTTAAAATGGTACCTGAAGGACACATCAGGATCGTATCTCCTAAATTTATTTCCTGTACGCCCACGGAAGTCGCTGCATTATTAAAGAGTTACTTTGGAGATGGGACCATTTCTATGTAAGAACACTTACTGAGTACTACTAATTACGTCTTCCCCCTTTGTAGTAGAACCTGTAAAACAAAAGACATTTACCTGGAATCCAGTGCCGGGCAAAGCTTCCAGCACTGTCTTTCATGTCTCATGCAGTCCAAACACGGGCTTTTCATTGAGTGACTGCACGCAATTTAAACTTGCTATGGGAGGGGGAGAGGGTGTGTGACAAGGAAGGAGGTGAGTTATGTTTTTTAAAAGAGCAATTTTACAAGGAAGGTGTGAGGGGAGAAAAAATGCTTCCCTTTGCAGGCACTGATTTATCAGCTTTATTTTTAGACTGAAAGGAAACATTTTTAGAAGCTTTTGATCCTGACAGTATATTACAGAACCATTGCTGGAATATTTTGCTGTATATCCATCAGGCTTCTGTAACTTAAATCTTCCTACTATTGGCATAGATACCCAAACCTTAGCATGCAATGAAATGGATATTAAAATTTAAAACTCACTTTCCGGACACCTCCAAGCGTAAGATCGCGGGAGCGAATAGAGGGAAGACGTCCAGGAGTTAGGGAAGCAGATGGCCTGCGTCCAACCAATCCCCGTCCTCCACCTATAGGGGTACGAGGTGTCCCATGAGCAGAATCATTCCTTGCATCTCCTTCAGACATCCTGCAGAGTGGTTATAAGATGTGTCCCTGCAAAAACAGGAAGAGAACAAAATGCAAAACATAAGTCACAGGTGTACAAACACCAGACAGGAAACGATGTAAGTAAATGTACAGCTTGGTAAAGGGATTCTATAATGTAAGGGATACAAATCTGTATTCCTTACACTATAGTTTCCTCTGGTCTCCTGTATCTCGCGTCCTCAGTCTTAGTCCTGCAATGTTGTCATTGCAGTTTCTCAAAAACTTCAATGATTTAAATTGAAGGACTAAAGGGAGACTGCACCCAGAACACTTCAGCTTAAGTGGTCTGGGTACCTATAGTATCCCTTTAAGATATGTGGGAAAACCAGGTACGAATTTAAAAAAAAAATGTTTAGCCTAGTCCTAGTTTCAGTGTACCTTCAGAGGGATTATGGGGAAATTTTCAGAGGAAATGTTGATAGAAAAGGCTCTTGCTGAAAATATGTTTATATATTTATTCCATTAGAAAATGTTAAAGACATTCTATAAAGTAAACCAATGTTCTTACTCCTGTAACTACATAATCTCTCAATTATTTAAACATAGCATATTGCTTACCAAATGATTTATGCCCATGCCACAATAATTATCTTTTTTTGTTGTCTCTCTTGTATTCATAGCTGTAACCGGAATCCTGTATTTAAATAAATAAATAAAAATGTGCCACCAAACATTCTCTCTAAATCGTATGTAGCCACATGACCTTTCCTTTCCCATTAACCCTATTTGTGTACAAAACAATATAACTCACCTAAACTTTATCAAAGCCACATGTCGCAGTCCAACACGATGGTCACCAGTGATGACATCACTTCCTTGCGCACCAGAGGATGCCGGGAGTTGTAGTTCTCTGTTCTGTTGCTGTAACCCAGCCACTTAGCGGCAGGAAGGTGTATAGACTGGCAAAGAAGAGGCAGGTGGAAAAATAGAACTGTGTCTTGTTCATGGTTGGAACTAGTATATTATTCGTTCAGAAGGGTCTGATTTGGGTTTTTAATTGAGTATAACGCGCTTTTTAATTGCAATATATTCTGTAACTCTGTTTTTTTCCATTTGTGCTATTTTGGGATGTATTTACATAGTTATGGATACAGTGCTAAATGTGCACTAGCAACCTCGAAGACTGATGTAGTGTGCTTGCTGATTAGGTCATATAGAGGGGTTTATAACCTAAACAGTGAACTGTGGTAAATTAAAAAAAAACTGAATTGTAAAATCTAGGCTAAATTCAGCTACTTCTCCATCTTGACAGTTTTAGCCTAAATCTCGCGTTTAACCCCTTAAGGACCAAACTTCTGGAATAAAAGGGAATCATGACATGGCACACATGTCATGTGTCCTTAAGGGGTTAAAGGGACACTCCAGGCACCTAGACCACTTCTACCCATTGGAGTGGTCTGGGTGCCAACTCCCACTACCCTTAACCCTGCAAGTGTAATTATTGCAGTTTTTTATAAACTGCAATAATTACCTTGCAGGGTTAACTCCACCTCTAGTGGCCGTCTACTAGACAGCCACTAGAGGGCACTTCCTGCTCTATAGCACAGAAAAGCACCTCCAGCGTCGCTCAATTCCCCATAGGCCGTCTACTAGACAGCCACTAGAGGGCACTTCCTGCTCTATAGCACGCACCTCCAGCGTTGCTCAATTCCCCATAGGAAAGCATTGAAAAGCATTTTCAATGCTTTCCTATGGGGAGCATGCGCAAATGCCGCTCATGCGCATTAGGTCTCCCCGGCCCGTGGGCGGGATCAGTCTCGCCCACCGGCCAATGCAAAGACTGGGAGGAGCGGCGGCGAGAAGAAACCACCGCCGAGGGACATCGGCAAGGTCTCAGGTAAGTGACATGAAGGAATTTTCACCCCTTCAGCAACCAGGGATTGGGAGGTGGGAGAGAGAGGGGACCTGCAGTGCCAGGAGGAGTTTCCCTTTAATGGTTAGTTCACACCTTTTTAAAAGGACATTCCACTTCCCCTCTCCACCCCCAAAAATCACTGTTTAGTTATCCAAATGAAAACTTGCATGTATTTATTTATGAATTTGTTCATTGTGTGTATATAAAAAAAACTGCCTGCAAAAAAAGATCTGCTTGTCTGCTGCCTTTGTAAGCCCTCCCCTTCTAACCCTGCCCATACATTCTGTGACCGTCCAATAACAGACTTCCCAATGCAGCTCAATGAGAAGTTTGTCTCATTGACAGCTGGGGGTGTAACTAGGTTAATTTCGAAACAGGTAAATTTCTATTGAAATCTGCACTTTTTGTAAAATTAAAGAAATAAGACACACTCTTCACACATAAAGCATTTCAGCAAGCTAAAGTGCTTTATGGTACTGGAGTGTCCCTATAACTTTTCTTTTTTAAATTTATAATATCCGATAGTGTATTAGGTGCCCTCCCCCTTACAGCTAGTAGAGTGTTCACTGATGTCACCCAGAGTATAACAATATTGTGATATCCCACTATATAATCCCCATACCCCTGCCTCCATTTTTTGTTTATTAAGATTCTGTATTAGCTTGAGCAGCATGTGGACAATATGAATGAGATTGAGGCAGGTATAGTATGGTAAACTGCGGCAAAGCTAATAGTTGTGATTTCACCAGCAATCCAAATAGGTTTAGGCTTAGACGCACTAGCATTCAAGATGTTATGGAGAGTATTCCAGGTCACAACATCTAATGCTTGGATTTATAGAGTTACGTGGTTTAGAAGACAGTCTAATGGGAAGTTTTGGGGTAGTTGCATTCTCTAATATCTAGATTACTTTGGACCGATAGGGGTACCTAACCATAATCCAACCCGACTCGTTCTCACCTAACCACTGCACTTGCTATATCCCACCCTGTAGTGAACACACTGTTGTGATTAGCAATGAATAAATGTAATTTATACAATAGTCAATTACCAGGTTAGTAATCAAGTTTGGATTGACTTGATTTTTAAAAAATATTCTGTGTGAAGTGAGCTTTCCCATTTAAACTACAAACGCCATATTTAACTAGACTTAATTTCTGCTGGATGTGGGTGTCTTCTTTGGCCAAAATTATGTTTTTGCTCATTTACTAAGCTGAATAAAAAATAAAAAATGAATGAAACCGTTAAAATGTTTATTTTTTATGCGGTAATAGTTTAAAACATAGGGTTTTATTCACTAAAGCAGGATTTGTAGAATAGTAAGAAGGGAATTGCAAGCTTTAGGTAAAAAGAAAATATTCTTGAATTAGATGAAAAAGCTTTCAAGCAAAAAATAAATAAAAAGTCCATCCATTTTCCACAAAGTCTGCTTCATCCTGTGGAGCTGGTACTTCATAATTGCGATTCTATGTGGCACATAACCCTTATTTAAGGTTCTGTGATGTACTGCTAAGAACTGAGATAGTAATTAACGTTAACCCTATAAAGGCTAATGACTGAGTAATTTATTGCATCTGTAGCCACAGCTCAGAATTCGAGGCAATTAACATCAACTGGCATGGGTGAATGGAAACAAAAGATGAACACAAAGGGGGTTATTAACTAAACAGGGGATTTTGGGGCAAATATAGTGTACTGCAAGTCTGTGCATAAAGGTAGAAGCAGTTACAAGAACATACTCAACTCAGCGGTATGTTTTCTAGCTCCACCATCTTGGAATACATTTGCAATTTCCTTGTCAAATCCCCCAGTTCTGAATTTAATGAATAAACATCCTAGTATCACAATTAGTGAATAAAAAGTGTATAAGTAAAACAGATTCAGCCTTTTGATCTGTTTATATTGAAAATATAAAACAATATAATTTAAAGATGGAGCAGTTGGGGGGGGCGGAGCCTGACAGCTATGCTGACCGGTCGCATGCTGGAGAGGCTCCTGCTGAGTTTGGCCTTTTCAGCTGAAATTCTGGACTCATGGCTAACACTCAAATAGTGTACTTTAGCCAAGTGTGCAGGCAGCTGTTGGCACTACCGTGGACTCTACGATCGGGAGTTTTTATACGAAGTTTGGAGCATGTGGCGTACTTGGGAGAGGAGAGGGGCAGACGGCTGCTGCCCTGTTCTTATGCGTGGCTGCCACTCAACAGCCCTGTGACACTCCTCACAAGCCTCGGATCCCTTCCCATCCCATGGACCAGCGGTCGTTATTCTGGTCCCCACTGGACGGAGCCGGCGCTATGCAAACTATCCTTGCAGAGCTTACCTAGCATCGTGGCCTACACTCCTATTACCAGTACTCAGGGGCGGACTGACCACTCGAGCACATCGGTCATGGACCAAGGACCCGAGACAGCTAGGGGCCCGGCCGCACAGCCATGCTCTAGCTAGAGAGAACAGAGATCTCTCCAACTGGAATGGCAAACTAAAAAAAAAACTCTTCCCCAGCAACCTACTGTTCTGCACATTACCCTCTCCTCCCTCCCATTAAATGAGACCTAGTAGCATTACCTGCTCTCTGCCAGGTCTCCTTCTTCCTGTCCCATGCGGCACTCTGTATGATTGGAGAGGCGGGGCTAGGAAGTGCCTGTACTCTCCTCACACGCAGAGCCCTCTCACAGCCAGCGGGGGGAAGGAGCAGCAGCCTGCCACATCTGGCATGGTGAATGTGGGGATAATGAAGGATTTACCTGTGGCAGTATTACTAGGAAACAACTTGGGACCCTTAACCTAAGCCTATGTCCCCAGGGAACCAGCAGAAGCCAAACCTGTGACCACACGTCTGCAAGCTTGAACGGCAGGAACTGGCCCACATGCTGCAAAGACTCAGGTAAGAAGCGAACCCCCGACTGTGACGGTAGACCTGACCCCGTTAGAATTGGACACCCCAGAGGAGTTTGGGAGGGAAACCCGGGAAGACCCTACCCTTCACAAGTATAGGGCTAAGGCCGACACTGAACAATGGGGGTTAGAGGGAGAGAGATTTATCTGGGAGCAGGATCAGTTATACAGGTTAATCGAGACCCACAGTAAAGGGGCAGCCCCATCCCAGAAGCAACAACTTAAAGTTCCTAGGAAATACCGGAGGGATCGGGCATGACATCCCTTTAGCCGGACACCTTCGCCGGGAGTATCAAAGGATGTACATCGGTACAGCAAAACTTGCAATACCTGTCAGCGAGTAGGGAAGAGCGGGGATCACCCCAAAGCTGTCGACCTGGTGGGGCCCCTACAGAGACCCAGTCCATCTGGTAAGAAATATATACTTACCATGGTGGACTATGCTACCCACTATCCAGAAGCAGTCACTCTCACACATATCCAGGCAGACACTGGTGCCGATGCACTGGTAAGGATATTTGCCAGGCTTCCCCAAGGAAATCCTCTCTGACCAAGGAACCCAATTTACTGCGCATCTGACCAACCAACTGTTGATCGTATGCGGCATCAAGCCCATCCAAAGTGCCCCCTACCACCCCCATACTAACTGTCTCTGTGAGCAGTTCAACAGCACTCTCAAACAGATGTTGAGAACCTTCGCTGACAATCACAGAGACTGGGAGAGATTTCTACCGCACCTTCTCTTTGCATACCGAGAGGTGCCACAGGAATCTACTGGGCTTTCACCTTTCCAAATTGCTCTATGGGAGAAGATTACGCTGTCCCCTTGATCTCATTAGAGAGCACTGGGAAGTGGAGACGGAACACGAGGGGACACCCATCGTAACTGTATGTTCTGTCATTCCGGGACCGCATGGAGCAGTTGGCCAGGATGGTAAGGGAGAACCTCTAGGCGGCCAGGGGTGACAGAAAGCCTGGTACGATAGAGGGGCCTGGCAGCGTACGTTCCAGGTGGGACAAAAGGTACTTGTGCAAAAGCCAGTCTGAGAAGGAATGTGGAAGGAGATACATGAGATGCTACACCTAGGGGTTATCAAGCACTCTGATAGCCCCTGGGCTTTGCCTGTGGTCCTCGTACCAAAGAAAGATGGGACCATCTGGTTCTACGTGGACTACAGGTGACTGAATGAGCGGACCACCACTGATGCATATCCAATGCCCCTTTTAGATGAACTGTTAGATCGTATAGCCAGGGGACGTTATCTGACCACCATCGACTTATGCAAAGGCTATTGGCAGATTCCCCTTGCCAAGGAGGCTATCCTCAAGTCGGCCTTCGTCACCCCGTTTGGCATGTACTAAATTAGGGTCATGTCATTCGGGATGAAGAACGCCCTGGCCACCTTCCAGCGTATGGTGGATAGGCTCTTCGATGGCTTCCAGGATTTCGCCTGTGCGCACATGGATGACATTGCGATCTACAGTGAGTCCTGGGAGTAACACATGGTTCATGTAGGGGTAGTACTGCAAAAGATTCGGGCCACCTGGGTATGGCAGAGGTTCAATATTTGGGACACCGGGTGGAGTGTGGGAAGCAGCAGCCAGAACCCACTAAGATAGAAGCGGTCGCTAACTGGCCCGCACCAAGACCCAGGTGTTGGCCTTCTTAGGGATCGCTGGGTATTACAGACGCTTCGTACCAGACTACAGTACTCTAGCCAAACCCCTGACTGACCTGACGAAAAAGAGTTTACCTAGGCAGGTCCTGTGGTCTCCCACTTTCCAGTCTTTTAAACAAGCTCTAGTGGATGCTGCTGTCTTGGCTGCCCCAGTCCCTAACAAATGTTTTATTGTGCACACGGACGCTTCCATGTTCGGACTGGGGGCAGTTCTAAGTTAAGATGGAGGAGAACACCCTGTCGCGAATCTCAGCAGGAAATTGTTACCCAGGGAGGTGAGCTACGCGGCAGTGGAAAAAGAGTGCTTGGCATTGGTTTAGGCTTTAAAGAAATTGACTCCTTACTTGTACGGACAAGAATTCACCTTGATTACTGACCACAACCCATTGATATGGCTTAACCGGTTCGCAGGGGACAATGGCCGATTACTACAGTGTAGTTTGGCCCTGCAAACCTACAACTATACCATACACTACCGGCCCGGGAAGCAAAATGGCAACGCCGATGGGTTGTCCCGTCAAACAGAGCTCACCAACTGACTAAACCACGGTCATCCCCAAGTTGACCCGAAAAAGGTCAAACCGGGTCTGCCGGAGTGTTCCACAAGGAGGGAGCACTGTGATGGATTCCCCTATCCCTGGATTGTCATCCTTTTAATTTTGACTTATTTGTTACACAGGGTGGTTCGGTGTATGGGATTCACTGAACACCTGGGACCCATGTAGTTCACATACCGAATAAACTGCCAAATGTCCAGACCACCCAGAGGAGTCGTGTGTTGCTCATTGACCCTTTTGACCCTTGTTCTCACTTCGGCAACCGCAATTATCACAACGTTGGTGTACTGAGACCCCAGCCGACTCTAGGTGCAAGAAGATAGTTCTTCCACCGCACCAACACTTTCCGCTGGTATCCCTGCCGCTTGTAAGGTTAGAGTTTTATGGAGTGTTCATCTGAGCAGTGTGTGTGTGACTTTAGGAGTGCAATTGTGAGGGGTGTCCGTGTGAGTGTAAGGCAGGGGTGTATGTGCGTAGAGTATAAACCTGTGAGTGTATTAGAAATTTGTCTCAGGGTGTATGTGAATGAGGAATGTAATGAAAAAAATTAGCAAAGTGTATGAGAAGTTTATTTATATGATGCAAGTGTTTTTTGTGCATCTGTTTGAATTCCCCCACCTCCTTTGGTGCTCTTTTCACCATGCTCCACCAATTTTGTATTTACAGCACCCACCTCCTTGTTTCCACATTATCTCCTCTATTGTCTGTCACACTTTGCCTCTCCATCACCCTCCTGTGACTCTCTACTGTGACCTTCACAACTGTAACATATCATACTCCTTTTTACAAAGCACTCCACTTGTGTCTTCCCCACATTTCTTTCCCATCCCTGACAATTTTCTAACCAAAAAATGTAATCTTCTGCCCCCTTTCTTTAACCTCACATGTCTGTATACACACAGAGAGAGAGGCCATGTGTGCCTCTGCTCCACCCATTAATTCCACATGTTTCTCCGTGTTTCCATCCCCTATTAACCATCCCCCTGCTTTTCAATCATTTCTTTCTTTTTTCTATTGCTGTACCCATATAATCCTTTTACCATAATTTTCTCCCTCTGATTGCTCCCCTAAATCTCTTCCATGATCTGCTCCTTACATTGTTTTTCTCTTTCCATGACACTCCTTGCCTCGCTTCTATTTTTATCCTGCTTTCCCCAACTTTTCTCTCCCCCTTTTTTTTTTGTTGTGCACAAAATGAACAAACAGCCTCGGTACACCACAATAGCAGTATCAAGGTATAAAGGAATACAATATGCATGAAAGATTGTAACGTTTTAAAATTAGGCACGTTTTTTAGTATTAAGTAGAGGATAGTTAGGCTGGATAGTAGGTTTTAGTGTGATGTGCTAAATAAGTTGAGCTGACGTTAAGTATTATTTAAGTAGATCACGAGTAGTCTGATATGTGTTAGGTAGCGTACACATTAATTATACAAACTGCGGGCTAATTTAAACACATTTGCTAGGTAGGAAGAGGGTAACAAACCACTGGCACCCATACCGCCCTGCCAAGACTTAGGTATGTAAGGTAAGCGTGGTAAAGTAAATGAAAAACAAAGGCATAAACAAAAGGAGTTGAGGCACAGAACCCATTGAGTATTTAGGTGGGAATTATACTCAGGAGAACCTTAGGACCCGCTATCTACACCATGATTTCTCCTGGTTGTATGTAATGGGAGTGTGGGGGAGTTAGGCAGGTTAAATACTATGCAATGTGGGTCGTATTAGACAGGCTGATTTGGACACTGCAGTGTGTGTCCTGGCGTAGAGGGAGACCCATGGCTGAGTAAGGTCCTGCAACCCCAGCTAACCAATTTCCATCGGTGGCGGTATAAAGTTCCTGTCAGTGGAGTGCCCGATCAGGCATAAGAGACAGGGTCGGAGTGTGAGCTGCAGTGACAGCCTGCAAGGCCTTATCTGTCCCTGATGGGCCCGGGTAGGCGCCTGCACGTCGTGTAGCTCGCCTCATCACTGGAGGTTGCGGTTCCCCTTCCATGTTGCTCTACCATGCGATGGATAAGATCCCTCTCAGGGCGTGGGTTGTGCCGACGGTGAAGGCTCACAGCTGGACCATGATGACGGCACCTGACAGCCCTCCTCCGCTTCTTAACTTTCTGCCGTGTGGTAGGGTTCTGCCTAGCAGGCTGTGGCTTGGCATTGCTCCGCTCAATGTGAGCTTGGATCCCGGGGCTCTGTGGTTTACGGAGAGCCTTCCGGTTACTTGAGTGGCTGGGCTGCCGCTGCTGCTTTGTTTTCCGGTGTCGTAGGTGAGACTTGAAAGGGAAGTCTGTGCTGTAAGCACCTCCAAAATGCTTGGCAGATTTGCTCAAACTGGATCTCAAAGTGCAGTCTCCATTGCTGGAGCTCTGGGCCCTCTTTATTTTGCTGGGAGTGCAGCGTGGCGGCCATCTTAGGTGCTTCGTGGGATCTGCTGCAAGGCAAGATTTTCCCTTGTTGCAAGTGAGTATGACCTTCCAGCGGGGACTGGGATATCCCCCACCGGTCCATAGGGGGGGTAGCGGGAGAACAGGAGAGCCGCTGTGCGGTGCGGACCCCGTGTTGGGAGATCGGCCGCCTCCCCCGGCATCCAGGTCACTATCCTTGCTAGGCCTCAGACGCATATCGCGGTAATCAGCAATAATAGTTGCTTGTGTGGCACCAAAAGATTCAGTGGCCTTCACCTGTCTACTGGTAGCCCTTTTGTAGCGTTTTCTGGGCTAAGCTGTGCCGTTTTTCCACTGTATTAGTCAAGCTGAGCGGGAGCTGTGTCTACATGCGTCTGCTCAGCTCAGCGTTCAAGCTCCGCCCCCATTACTCTTTTTACCTCTCTCTGCTCCCTGATGTATCTCCCCATCTTCCCATTTTTATTTCCTATCTCTCTCCTGCTTCCTGTTGTCTCTCCCCATTTCCCCCTTTTTTATTTCCTACCTTTCTCCTGCTCCCTGTGGCAGGCTGCTGCTCCTTTCCCTCACTGGCTGTGAGAGGGCACTGTGTGTGAGAAGAGTACAGCCACTTCCTAGCCCCGCCTCTCCATGCACAGAGCGCCACGTGGGACAGGAAGAAGGAGACCTGGCAGAGAGCAGATATAGCTGCCAGGTCTCATTTAATTGGAGGGAGGAGGGGGAAATTGTGCAGAACGGTAGATTGCTGGGACCCTGCGCTTCCTCAGAGGCCCCACAACCTATCGATGGAAGAAGTTTTTTTTTTTTAATTTTGCCGTTCCAGTTGGAGAGATCTCTGATCTCTCCAGCTGGAGCATGGCTGTGCGGCCGGGCCCCTGGCTGTCTCGGGTCCTCGGTCCATGACCGATGTGCCCAAGTGGTCAGTCCACCCCTGAGGAAGTATGAAGAAAGAATGTGTGGTTTATAGCCAGGGGAGGTGTGGATCTATACACCAAAACCATTTTATAAAGCTTTGGTGTTCATGGGAATGTTCAAAGTTTGTGATATTTTTTTGAAACTTCCAGATCTTTGTCCCAAAGTGTTTTTTTAGGTCCTTGGACTTTGTGGTGCTGTTTCTTCAAATCACCTTTCTACTACATTCTGGGGTCTTGGTACTTTATTACCATCTTATTCAGTGGGTGCATTCCGAGTAGCACAGTTTACATACATATACTATAATTGCACTATATTGTTAATCTTTCTTTCTATAGAGTTACAATTGTATCTCCATTGAATATATTAGATATTGGCTGTTTTGAGGGGGACATCATCTTTGAAATCCCCATGAAAAGCTGTATATTTAAACATAAGTCTTTCGTGTTTCTATTATACCCAACACTTGGGTGGTGAAGATGTGAGATATATATTATGGGGTCTTCCTGAAATAGATATGTTTATTTTGAGATCATCTTAGCACACAGGTGGGCTCTGTCTAACTTATGATGTGACGTCTGAAGGAAAGTTTGCTCCAGAGCTTATTTAGGAGTTTCATAACAGGTTTAAGGACCATATGCAATCAATGAATGTCTGTTATGTAAAACAAATATCAATACAATTACATTTTTAATTCCATCTTGCAGCATTAAAACATTCTGGAGCACTCTGCACAATTCTTAGTTTAACTAATGTAAGTTAAACCTATGTAAGTAGAGTTTTACTTCTTACCTGAGGTATGTCAGGCACCACTGCTCGCCTTGTCCTTTCAACTGTGAGAGTCGGAAGCTCCTACTCGGAGCTTCCATTACCTCTCCCGAGTTAAGCCTTGCAGTTCAGGATCAACCTATTGACTGAGCGCATCAGTTAAAGAACCACTATAGTGCCAGGAAGACATACTCGTTTTCCTGGCACTATAGGGTCTCTAGGTCCTCCCCACCCTCTGGGTCCCCCTCCTGCTGGGCTCTAGAGGGTAGAAGGGGTTAAACCCTTACCTTTTTCCCCCGCCGGGCTCCCTCGGCGCGGGGAACTCTCCTCCTTCTTTTCGCTGTCATCGGCTGAATGCGCATGCGCAGCAAGAGCCGTGCGCGCATTCAGCCAGTCCATAGGAAAGCATTCTCAATGCTTTCCTATGAACGCTGGCATCTTCTCACTGTGAATGTCACAGTGAGACAACCACTAGAGGCTGGATTAAGCCATAGGTAAACATAGTAGTTTATCTGAAACTGATATGTTTACAGCAAAAAGGGTAAACCTAGATGGACCTGGCACCCAGACCACTTCATTAAGCTGAAGTGGTCTGGGTGCCTATAGTGGTCCTTTAAAGGACCACTATAGTGCCAGGAAAACAAACGTGCATATGGCACTATAACGTCTTTAGGTCCCCCCCAACCTCAGGGTCCCACTCTTGCCGGGCTTAAGGGGGAGGAAGGGGTTAAACACTTACCTTTCTCCAGTGCTGGACTCCCTCTGCTCTGGGGAACTCTCCTCCCTCTTTCGACGTCAGCACTGAATGAAGAGCCGCACGCGCATTAAATTGGTCCATAGGAAAGCATTTCTCAATGCTTTCCTATGGACGTCAGCGTCTTCTCACTGTGATTTTCACCGTGGGAAGCGCCTCTAGTGGCTGTCAGTGAGACAGCCACTAGAGGCTGGATTAACCCTATTGTAAACATTAGCAGACCCTCCCACCTCCTGGACAGCTCACTAATAATGCAGCTTCACAATGAATGTAAAATGGATGCTGTCCAGGAGGTGGGAGGGTCTGCTGCTGATTGGCTGGAATGTGTCTGCTGACTGTGAGGTACAGGGTCAAAGTTTACCGCATATGTTCGCCATCCGCGGAACCGTTCGGCGAACCGTTCGGGACATTACTAGTAAACATAGCAGTTTCTCTTAACCCTAGATGGACCTGGCACCCAAGACCACTTCATTGAGCTGAAGTGGTCTGGGTGCCTATAGTGGTCCTTTGATTGCTTTTAGCCAATTAGATAAGCCCTGCAGCTACAGTTAGACCCCTGATATGAAGTAAAATCATTTTACAACAGTTTAACTATTTATGTTGGGTGGCACAAGGGCACTCCTGGCATCATAATGGTTATGGTACTTGTAGTGTTCCTTTAAAGAGGAAGGAAACTAGTATAATTTATGAATGACCCCACATTTTTATTTTAGCTTTAGGTGCATAAATTAAAAACCATTCTGGATATTACAGGCCTTAGCATAGCAGATAGCAGGATTTGACAACAAACTTGCATTATTTGCAAAAAATATACTTATTTGCCATACAATTCCTGAACAAAATCACTTCCAAAGCTTATTGCGACACCCCTCATCAATAGTAACAACTACCCATAATATTTAACTACCTGAAAAGCTGATGTGATGGATGTCCTGAAACCCTTGATTTGCTTGCAGCACCATTTTTGTGACTGTTTTCTATGTACATAGGCATCTCTGTATTGTGTAGCTATATTATATTTTATTGTATTATACAAGAGCAATGTGTGTGTCTGTATATGCAGCTAGTGTGAAATGTATTTTGTACATTGATTACGCTAAATCCTGTACTGCAAGTGACTACCTGCTGTGGGAGCCAGCAAGTCTACAAGCAATCTGCCACAGCAAAGGGCTGTCTATGCAATGTTTTTTTACTGTATGCTGTAGTCTATGAAAGATGGCTGTTTTGTACAATAAACAGTCTGAGTTGTCAAGAATTATCTTGTTGGTGTCTTCATTGAAGTCTCACAGGATATGGCTATTCATTGTCCTCTATACAGTAATTAATAATAGGAGTAGTGCCAGAGGACTACATAAATAGAATATCATATAGTAACCAGACACCAGTGCAGTATATCCTGTATACGCTACCAAAGATGAGTCCTAGGAATTAGTGGAGCAGTTTAGTGGGTTATGTAAAAAGAATACCCACAGATGATATTAGGCCGTATTGTCCGCCCCTTTATTGCCGTGAGCCTTCTTTTCTCTATGTTTTTTTTGTTTTGTGTTTTATTGAGGTTATGCAACGCTCAAACAACTCATCACAATATATGAGAGTCAAGGCAAATATTGGATATGTCACAGTGTCGTATACAAGCAGCCATAATATAGTCAGATACATTACTAGACAACACACAATGTCATGTAATATATCTACACCTCATTTTATATATTTAAGATGTGGAAAAGATAAGGCAAATTGAGCAATGCACAAGTAACAGTATAAAAGAACGTGGCAGAAATGTTTGCACGGGTATGCTTCTAGTAAACGCTCTTGCCATATCATTTGATTAAAGTGTGGAGAGTGATGTGCATTACCCTTTACACTCTCAAATGCATAATTCTTACATAAGAATTTACATCTTCTTAGTGGTAACAATCACCCTACAAAGAGTAAGTCTTACATTCACAGGCCAGATTACAGGGGGACCATGCTTCAATCCTCTTTAAGATGCTTGAATATTTTCCGTAGAGTGGTACCGATATATGGCTGCTTAACAAAAACATCCTGTGTCAAAAATATATTATTGATGATATTAAAGCAGAGCAGCATTATTTAAAAATTAATGGTCACATTGATACCATTATGGGCTCACTCTGCCCAGCCAATAAGGCATATTTAAGAGGTATATTTATTCATATATATAATTGTATGTATTAATATCAAAATACACTTAGAATGAAATTATATATGTTTTGATTCAAAATGTAATTATAAATTATGTATAATTACATTATTTTTTTAAAATTAATTATAAGTTGGTAGATCTGCCTGACAACTCCAGCAGTCCTTCTGCAGTAAATCTGCAAATCAAGCTGATCCGAGTCGTGTGATTGCGGTGTCATTGCGGTAACATGATGCAGATGGGTGGGATTTGCTGCAGATCGACTGCCTCGATTGTCAGTATCTGGGAAAATGGCGTTCTATGCTGCTCCATGGCGTTAAAGACCACATTTTGGAGGACGGCATAGGACACCCTTTGTCAATAAGGGGTTAAATATTTTTCTTGTCTGAAATGGGTAAGAATAAAGAGATACTCTAAGCACAAAAAAAAATTCATCTTAGTGAAGTGGTTTTATTGCCTATGCCATGTCCTTTTGTGCGGCAATGTGAACATATTGGCAGTGTTTACATTTAGCTACAACCATGCCACTAGTGACTGTTAGACTGACAGCCGCTAGTGGCGCATTGTACTTAAGACTTTAAATAATTGAAAGTCTTCACATTCAGTGTCATCGCACTAAACATGGTGCTACAGAATGCTGTGAATGCTTTCTCTATGACAAGCATCCAATTAATTGAGTATGGCAATTACTGCACACATCCAGTATGCGTACCTCTTAACATTTCAAATGGACAAAGAGGGACACTTTAATTTTAGAGGTGTTTAAAGACACATTGCTGTGCGTATTATTATAGTGATGCTCTGGTGTATATACAGACACATCAACAATATCAAGGACATGGTATAACCACGAGTGACTCGGTTGTCACCGTCAAGTCCCCTTTCCCTTGTGTTTATAACTCAGAGTGATTAAAGCTCCTTGCTGCTGTGATATAGCTGTCTCACTCAAACACTAACCGAGACTTAGTGAAGGGTGAAGAAAACTGGCTCATTGTCATACAGATCCCACTTTTTTTACTTGGGGCCTCTAAACAGGAGGCCCCGAGGGAGAGCAAAGGATTTGCGGCATCCTGGGGCCTTGGTGTTTGTACCAGAACAAATAATTTAATTAGTAGCTAGACACCTTGGCTCAGCGGTAAAAAAACCTACAATAACTGGGGTTCCCGTGCCCACATCCCTACAATAGTGCCATCCCTGAGAAGCTGTCTTCTGAACACCCAGTCTGTCCAAGAAGACTCATTCGGAGTATGGAAGCGGTGTCACACTTATTTATTATTGTGAAACAAGACCTTCTATACTCTAAGATTTTACTCTTTTATGTGCCAAAGACCAGCAAATTTGGCAGAAAAAAAGATCAGTGAAACAGCACTTTTGAAGAAAAATGGTGATGTAAATATTGATAAAACAATAGCGACACCACAAAAACCAAACAAACACAAATTTTTTTCCTTATATTCATGTTTGTTCCCCCAAGAACATCAGAAAACCTATTTGTACTGTATTTCCTACCACTAAGATGTTAATAACTCCTTGGGATATCTGAATAAGTCAAAATGCTGTGTTAAAAGGACACTATAGTCACCAAACCAACTTTAGCTTAATGAAGCAGTTTTTGTGTATAGATCATGCCGCTGAAGTTTCACTGCTAAATTCTCTGCCATTTAGGAGTTAAATCCCTTTTGTTTCTGTTTATGCGGCCCTAGCCACACCTTCCCTGGATGTGACTGACAGAACCTACATAAAAAAGTTTGTTTTCAATCAGATGTTAACTTACTTTAACAGTTTTTATTTCCTGTTCTGTAAATGTAACTTCTAGTAAGAGAGCAGGAGATGAGAAATTCTAAATAAAACAGAATTTGCAATAAAGGAAGTATAAACATTAGATGACTCTTTACAGGAGGTGTTTAGGAAGGCTGGGTAAGTCACATGAACGGAGGTATGATTAGAGCTGCATAAACAAAGTGATTTTTTTTTTTTTATAATTCTTTATTTTATTGTGCATGAATTTGACAATCAAGCTTGCCGTGCCACAACAGCTTGGGCAAACAGATTAAAACATTAATATACATATGAATGGCACGTGATATTACTGCACATTTTTGTTAAAATTACTTCATTGCAGAACAAGAAAAAACAGTCTAGGCCTACAGTTGCTAGAATATGTGGTGTGATTGGAGTGTGCTCAGCTATGCCCTGTTGTTAGTCCACACTGACTGTAATATAAGTGTACTGTGGTTTTGAGGTGGGTGGTCCAATGTGTAAGTGAGTAGGCTATCCGTCTTGTCCCTTGGATAGGTTAGATTTAGTTTGTTCACCGTGTGTTGCGCGGTGCGTTCCTAGCCCTATCAGGTGGAGTTACGGGTACATATTCGGTATGCCACTGGGGCACAATATATGTGTATGGCCGGTCGGTGTGGCGGGGGGGGGCAGGGAGTTAGCTAGCTAGTCAATTGTCCCAAGGTGCGGGCTACTGCAGGCATTAGGTTCTATTGGGCTAGTACTCCAGCAGGTAGGTTGTCGCAGCTTTCGAGTGTGTCACCTAGAGAGTAGCCCTCTTGGTGTGCCGTGATAGCAGCGTTGTGTTATAGATGTTTGGTGAGGATGCATGCTGGTTCGTGTGCTGTGACTATTGCTGTGAAGGGGGGGTGTGCTGCTTGGATTTGGGAGCTGGTTTATCGTTCCCGTTTGGGTGGAGTAGCTATTGAATCGCTCTAGGGCCCCTGAGTTGGTGGGGGGGTAGTCGGGTGGTGTGTCTGGCAAGAAGTGGTGTGGGGACGTTAGTAGGTTATAGTAGCCGGATGGCTTTGACTGAACATGCCTACATAAAATTTTAACTTTATGACTATGTCAACATTAAGAGGTATTATCGCCTGCCAGTCCTTCGGCACTTCCCTCTACCAGAGGGGTATTGTGAGCCCGGGTCTGGTTGGGGCGTCTCATCCTGTGTCGGCTTCATTGCGAGGTACAAAGGGGACTATGTTGGATATGTCCCAGGAATGTCCAGGTTTGGCAGTGTCGGGCTTGTGCCGGTTGAGCCCCAGGCTGTGGAGGAATGGGTCGGCGTCAGCAGCTGAGGTGAGTCGGCGGGTGGTCTCGCCCTGTGTGGCTACGAGTGTGTGGGAAGGGCCCCATCTGTACTGGATGCCTGCTTCTCGAAGGGTCTTGGTGACCTGGCTGATAGAACGTCTCCACTCCAACGTTGCCCTGCAGAGATCCTGGAGAAAGGTTAGTTGGGAGCCCTCAAATTTGAGCGGGCTCTTGTTCTTGATGGCGTCCATCAGTGCTTGTTTGTCGCGTAGGGACTGGAATCTCAGGAGGACATCGCGGGGAGCGTCTGCTGGAGCCCTTGCGGACTTGGGGAGTCTGAGTATTCCATCTAGTTGCAGGTTCTTCGCCTGTTTGGGGTGCAGGGTCTCCGACAGGAGGCGCCTAATAAAGTGGGGTAGCTCCGTGTCGTTGACAGCTTCTGTGATGCCTCTTACTTTTATGTTGATTCGTCTCCTAGAGTCGTCCATCGCATTGACTCTGGCCTGCAGGGCCTGGTGTGAGCCTTGGAGTTGTTGTAGTCGCTCTGTTGCGTCTGTCTGGCATTGTGCCATGGAGGTGATATCCTCCTCTGTGGCCTTCACCCTGTCCGTCACGGCTGTTACCTCCTCACGGAGCAGCGCCATATCCGTGCGGAACCATGTGCGCAGGTGTTTCAGAAGGCCCAGGATGTCTCCCTTCGTTGCGGGAGCCCCCAGGTCCCCTAATTGCACGGTGGAGAAAGGGTCATCTGCCTCAGGTATGGCATCTGGGGAGTCCAGTGGGTCTTCGTCCGAGGATAGGCCTGGGGAGTCTGGCGCTGCCGCCATTTTGGTTTTAGGCCTCGCCAGGAATATGTCTCCTATTCGACGCGTGCCGTCGTCCGAGGATGCTTTCAGCTTCTTTGATCGTTTCCCCATATTGTTGTGCAGGGGTATGCTTAGTTTTCGGCGGTGCACCGTCTATTTTGTAGTCGTTAGCTAGGTTATTTGCCGCTTTCAGCTCGGAGCTCAGCCGACATGCGACTTCTCTCCATGAAGGTCAGGCCCCGCCCCATAAACAAAGTGATTTAACTCATAAATGGCAGATAATTGAGCAGTGAGACTGCGGGGGAAGATCTATACACCAAAACTGCTTCATTAAGCTAAAGTTGTTTTGGTGACTATAGTGTCCATTTAAATTCTACATGCCTATTCAATCCCCTTTAACCACATTACTCTCCATAGCCTCTCACCTTTCACTCATGTTAGTGGAGAATTTTAATCTACCCTTTAGGTAGAAAATATGTTGCCAGGAGTGCCCTAGTGCCCTCCTATAGTAATTTGTTTTACCTTTATAAAATGGTTTGATAACTTACCTGGGTCTAAGCAGGAAGCAGCAGCACCAGCCCCTGCTTTTGGACTTGCCACAAGGACAATCAGGTTAGGTCCACTGAGGTAAACAGGGCCACCCATACTGGGAGAGAGTCATGACCTAAGACTGTGGTGGAATCTCGGTAAAAATAAATTTAGTAGGCCGAGATTACCACGTGGCATGTGTACGTGCATATGCTGACGTATCGATCAGTTGGTTGCACGAGGCAAGATACGATCAGTAGTGTACGGAGCATGTGCAAGAATACAGGATGTAGTATTCCCCTCCTCCATTGTGCTGGACAAGCCATGCGGTCAAGCAGGAAGTTAATTCTTATTTGTAATGATTGGTCAAGAGAATGTGCGGGTGGAGCTTAATATGGGAGGAGTTATGTGCCTATATAGGGAGCCTGCACTATTGTTCAGGGCTCAGAACTTGCTGTATTTTTGGTGACATTAGTCCCTCTGAGTCCCGATCGGTGATCCAATAAAGAATCTCTTCCTTCCTGAAGAAACCTGTGTCCATCCCTCTGTGCTTTGCTTCCGTCAGTTTCTCCGGTATCAAGACAGTGTTGGGCTATGTAGTCAGGGCAAGAAGCAGGTAGTTCTGTTCACTCATGCCAACTAACTCTGTCCATGTCTGTGTCCTTTGTCTTTGACCACCTTAGCTATATTGTAAATTTATGCCATTGTTTTTTTTTTGGGACTGTCAAAAGAACAGAGAAGTAGATAGACATTTAGTCTATAATGGTGCAATTAAAATAGAGGTTTGGATATAACCATAACATTTTTGATAGCTTCACAGCAGTTAGTAGATACATTTTGGGCTGCCCTAACACCTATTGGCCAGATATAGTCCTCATGTGCTTTTGTGCACACTGCCTAGTCAGACAAAGCAGAAATTAAATTGCATTAATTTACTTGCTAAAGACTTGAACATTGAACATTCGAATGCTAAGACTTGCCATGGTCGTTAGAAAAGTCTAGAATGATTAAATTCTATTCAATAAAATGGACTGAGCTAATTCATACAATAGATAGTAAGTAATGTAGATTTTCTTTATCTTGGTTTACTGAAGCGTGATTGGGGGTGAATGTGATTAAAGTATCCAACTCTTGTTTTTTGTGTTATTTAATAGGCTACAATGTGGTGGGCCCTGAAAGCTCGTTTAATTTATACCAGCAAGAAAGAAGAAAACAACATTATTGGCATGATGCACAAGTTAAGTCATGTTGGCAACAGAATCCATAACTCCTTCACTGCTGGAATGCTACCTTCACCGGGCAAGGATAAGGCCAGTATTTTAAATTACTGGGGGTGTTTGGTGTCCTGGGCTGTTAGCCATCCTCTCTTCCTTTACTATTTGTCCTGTTTCATTTATTTATTTTTTTACCATCCATTATCTCTGTTATTTCTAAATCTGTATTCTCTCATTCCTGCCTCCCCCAAGCTTTACCCTCTCTCTCTCTTTCTCTCTAACAGCTTTGCTGTTTCCCTCCTACTCAATCTTTTTTTCCTCTCACCCTTGCTATTTTCTTTTCTTCCTGCAATCTCCCATTTCATTCTTTCGCTCTGTCTTTGCTCTTTGAGGTTCCAAGCTTATCTATAAAGGTATGTCTCACCTGCATCACCTTTCTATGGCAGGACAGCTGTGTCCTAATTTTTATTTCTTTAATCCCATGTCTGTCTATTTCCTAACAATGTTAAAACTCACAATCAGTAGAAAGCCTTAGTATGCAGAGGGTGTGATGCTCTTTACAATGTATAACAATTTACAATGAATGTTCTATGTGACCTATAAAATTCATATTGCACAGCATGGTCCTGCTTCAGAACTTTGGCTTTTGATAATGCTCTACAAGTTTTTGGCATGGTGCTTTTCCTGAGAATGTTATCAAGCTCAGCAGGTCTCATAGAACATATCTAAATGATGATTTGCTGTTTTATTGCTTTTAATGCTCTTTGATTATAGGATGCAGAGATTTATGATTGAAGCCTTGCAGGTAGTTCGTGAAATGCCATCAATTTTTTTGAGTGATTCTGTACAGTAATGTGGGATCTGCTGTTAAATAGCGGGAGTGCCAGGTAGTGTGGAGGTGCAGTGCTGTTTCCGAAAGGAAGTGGCATTGGTATTATACAGGGCATGCAGGGCATGAATCTAGGCCAGCTGTATCAGACACGTGTGGGTGGTTTGCAAGCTGAGATAGAGAGGGATTAGCATATACCATCCTCCCACAGACTGTATTGCTTAGAGAAGATCAATGGGATCAATGGTACAGCAGACGATACGGAGGGATATCGGGATGATAACACTCACAGAGAGGTGCATAGAAAGGAACCTACCAGGTAAGCCACAGATCAGAGAAGCTTTTATTCCTCACAGAGGGCATGTTTTTTGGCATGGAGTTAGAGTTAGGTAATAGATCTTTTACAATGCATGCTAATTTCAGTGTTTTCATTCTCCACATAGCCTTGTAAAACTTATCGCACATATCAAAAATTACACTCCTTACAAAAATGCTCTCATAAGTGTCTCATCATTTTTATAGTGGGTGGCACTCCTTCTCCAAACATACCCTCAATTTACATTTCAGCTTTATTCCTCAAGTGGTTACTTCCTTATCCCAACACATCCATCACACACACCAATCTTAAACAGTCCAGTCTCCTTTATTTACACATAGGGCACTAGTAGTGCCTGTCTTCCTTACTATTGGTTGGAAGCAGTAACACTACTCTTGACACCATATGACAGCAAAGTACAGATTTCTATTACACAGGGCAGGAATGTCAGTCTTCTCATCTACCAAACTAGGACAATTGCGGTCTCAATCTGTACAACCATTAAAGACAGTGGTAGTACCAATCTCCATTGCATAGAGTGGGAGGCAGTGATGCAAGACTAACCTTTTGCTCTCTTACATAGCAGAATGCAATACAACTAGGTTTACTGGCACCCAGCCTAGACACCTGTATATCCATTATGCCATATATAGGGTGAAAATAACTGGCGTCAGGTTTTCAAGACATCTAACACATCTTATTCTTCTATTTTAACCTGAATAGTGCCATCCAGAGTTTGTTTGTCTACAATTCTGTGATTAGTAATTAAACCTTGAGCTGTAAACAGGATAAAGCCATCAGTAAAAGTTGGCAACAGGGAAGGAGGGGGGAATAATCCTTATCAAAGTAACCAGAGCAGATTTAAGGAATGGGATTTGATTTCAAACAGGTGTACTCAATGACATGAATCAATTATCATGGTACAGGGAACAAAGACTGTAGCGAATTTAAAAAAAATTGCATAAAAATTGGTGTGGAACACAGGACAGAGAGGCTAATAGGAATTGTATTAAGAAGCTATGGGAATTTGAGGATATAAAATCGTACCAAAGGGAAACCAGCAGCTGAGCTTTGAGAAGGTAGGGGCAGGATTAAGCAGTTGTCTTGGTGACAGTGAATCAGGAAATTAGATGTTTAAGTCATTCTCACATGTTTTTTTTAGTGCCTACAGAGAAGATCAAAAATAAGCAAACAAATGCAGTGTGGCACACAACATAGGAGAAACGAAAGCAGTCAGGGCAATGCACACAGCACTACTGACAAAGTTTAAATCTATCCAACAGGTTATGGAATCCCCTCTTTCTGCTCCTCATGGGATCCAAATCAATGATATAACCTGTGACTCTTTCCGTGTGTCCTGGGAGATGCCACCTTATGACATCCAGAGAATAACTCACTACTTCATTGATCTGAACAAGACAGGCGGTCAGAAGGAAAACAAGTTCAAACATAGGGTGAGTTATGGGGTACACTTATTTGCAATAAAATGACTAATAGTAGACTATTGCAACTATATACATTACCTGTGATTAGTAGCAGGTGTAACCTATTTAGTCTTTATATCTTTGGTATGTATGTTTGCGCTGTTTTGGCATTGTACCTGTAATTCATACAATCAGTATCTTAGTTCCCTAACACTATGGATGGTCTAGGGTGTAATGGTAATCTCATTTCTCAATGCAACTACCATGCAATGTGGGTTTTATAGCTGGGGATCTGTCTGATCCGGAGTATCCCCTTCCACAAAGGACGTACCAACCAAACTGGTTGCGAAGGCGGTGGCTTTACCCATGACAGTCCGTGGTCACTGGTTCCTGAGTCCACGTACTGAATACACACTTGCTGTACAGACTGCAGTGAAACGCAGTGATGGGGAATATAGTGTTTCTGGCTGGAGTGAAACAGTGAGCTTCTGTACAGGGGGTAAGATACATATTGCATGCATGTCTGATATCCTTACATTAGTGTGTGTGTGTATATATATATATATATATATATATATATATATATATATATTTTCAAATTTCAAGTCTTAGGCCCTCTCCTCCTTTCATAAAATGTGGGCTCTGTGGCTCAGATATGACCAGGCCCACTAGAGCTGCGCCTGGGAATTACCTCTTTTTGTTTTCTCCCATCTTCACTGCAGGAGCTTCTCCCCCCCCCACCCCCTTCCTTCCTCTGTTTCGCCTTATTTTATCCTACATTTTTCTCTTTATTTCTCTTTCCTCTTCTAGTTTGGCTTTGTTCACTTATCTTTGTAAACTTGGGGTCAAGTCTGCATTGTACTCAGGGCCGGATTAAGAGCACAGTGAGCCTGGTGCTGACAATTATGATGGCCCGAATTACGGAATATTATCGACCAAAAACACTAAAACAGTCATACCTCCCAAGCGTCATCTGATGGAGATGGTGCTGGAGGGAAACTCATAGAATGCAGCTATAAGAAAACACATACTCTATGCTAATTTCTCTCTAATTTATGCTTTCATCTTTCAAGTAAATCCATAACCCCTAACAGCAGTGTCCAGTGAAGCAGGAAGTCAATGGGCGGGGTAAAAGGGTGTGCCACTGGCGCGAATCACGTGACAAGACCTGCCAAAAGGGGTGAACATGCCCAAAAAGGCATGTCAGGCTGCCTTCCAATCTTGCAGGCTGTCCAACTAAGGGCATACTATGCAGGCAGCACCTTGAGCTTGACATAAATGCGTCTAATAATGCGCTCACTCCATGCTTTCTAAGGACTTTCGCCTAGCACTCGCTGGTCCACTTGTCTCCTTACCTTCTTACTAGCAGGCAGAAGTTCCTGGTATATAGTCTGAGACAGAGTAAAGGTGTATGTAGTGAGTGTAGAAGAAAGGGGACATGCCACAGTGTTAGAAAGACCAATGTCTGCATTACCTAAACTAATTTTAATGTCAGCCAGTCCACACAAGTTTTGTTCCCATACATCCCTCTTCCAAACTTAAAGGGACACTATAGTCACCAGAACAACTACAGCTTATTGTATTTGTTCTGGTAAGCAGAATCATTCCATTCAGGCTTTTTGCAGTAAACACTGTCTTTTCAGAGAAAATAACTCCACTGGCCGCTCCTGAGATGGCTGCTAGAGGTGCTTCCTGGGGCAGTACTGCCTAGTGTGCAGCACTGCCATTCAGTGTCTCCACACTCTGCATGCAGATACTGAACTTTCCTCATAGATATGCATTGATTCAATTTATCTTTATGAGGAGATGCTGATTGACCAGGGCTATGTTGGACTTGTGCTGGCTCTGCCCCTGATCTGTCTAGTTGACAGTCTCAGCCAATCCTATGGGGAAGTATTGTAATTTGCTCAGACCACCACTTCTGAGCCAGCAGCTGCAGACTTGAATACAAGTAATATTTTACTATATTTAGGGAGGCAAAGGAACCAGAGGGGCTAGATGGTGGTTTTAACACAATAGGGTCAGGTGATTGTGTTACTGACTCTATAGTGCTCCTTTAAGCATGAGTATGTGAAGAGTAGTTAAGGTTGCAACCTTTCTTGGAAAAAAACACCAGCCTTAATCATTTGTATAATTAGTTATGTGTGACATCACATGATGTAAATCACAAGGAGTGACAGCAGAGAAAATTCTGTAAAATCACAAACTACTCACAGTTTGATGCTGCTGTATAGATGGATTGCTCCCAGTGTCTCCCTGTCTCCCAGTGTCTCAGTCTCGCAAGTCACCCAGTGTCTCAGTGTCCCTATGTATCACAGTGTCAGTGTCCCCATGTTGCCCAGTCCCCTAGTCTCCCAGTGTCTGTGTCCCTATTTCTCCCAGTGTCCCAATGTCTCAGTGTGTCCCCATGTCACTAGGATACTGGGGACACTGAGAGACATGGGGACACTGAGAGACCCGGGGACACAGAGACATGGGGACACAGAGACATGGGGACACTGAGACATTAGGGACACAGACACTGGGAGAGATGGGGACACTGAAACATTTGGGGACACTAAGACACTAGGGACACAGAGACATGGGAACACAGACACTGGGACACTAGGGGACACTGGGAGACAGACACTTAGGGACACTGGGAGACATGGGGACAGTTGTGGACATAGACATGGGGACACTGGGACATATAGGGACACTGGGAGACATGGGGACACCAGGCACACTGAGACACTAGGAACACAGACACTGGGAGACATGGGGACACTGAAACATTTGGACACTGTCCCCATGTTTTCCAGTGTCCCCAAGTGTCCCCAGGTCTCCCAGTGTCTGTGTCCCCATGTGTCCTAGTGTCTCAGTGTCCCCTAGTGTCTCAGTGTCCCTGTATGTCCCCTAGTGTCTCAGTGTCCCCTAGTGTCTCAGTGTCCCCATGTTTTCCAGTGTCTCAGTGTTCCCAGGTCTCCCAGTGTCTGTGTCTTAGTGTCTCAGTGTCCCCTAGTGTCCGTGTCACCATGTGTCCCCTAGTGTCTCAGTGTCCCCATGTGTCCCTGCTGCCTTTCCCCCCATCTCTCACTTACCTGAGCTGTAGAGCTGCTGTCTGGACTCTGTGCTGTGTAGCTGCTCCCCCGTGGATGAGTGAGTAGTAGAGAGAGGCAGGGATATTCTGTAACTTCCTATCCCTGCCTCTCTCCACACACAGTGACCCCTACTGGCCGGTGCTGATATTGCAGAGTAATTTCCATTTATTCTGAGAAAATGACCTGCATTTGTATTGCCGGTATTACTGCAATACTGGCACGCCAGGCAGCCTCAAATACCGGCTGTGCCAGTAAAATACCAGTCAGGTGGCAAACCTAAGAGTAGTGTGTGTAAAAAAAATGGGCCTATTCCATGGGCCTGGGCCTGGAGCTGCAGCTCCATCAGCCCCTATGCTGATCCGGCCCTGATTGTACTTAATCACTATATTGTCATTGTATCTATGTGGCTTGTCTCTTAAATAAATTGAAAAAAAAAATTCAAGTCCTATGTTATAAGTCAGGACTAAAGTTACTCACAACTAAAGTTAATTTCTACTCACAAGGGCTATATTTGTTCTTGCCACTGGCTAGTAACAAGTGGAAATTATGAGCCTTGATATATGTGTATAGTTCGACAGTATATTAGAATCTGTAGTAAGAGATTATAAGTACAAACCTCTCTGTACATGACTGTAAAGCCAGTTTTTAAATACATGATCAGAATCTAGAAAAATGTGTCATCCATAATATCACAACAGCACAGAAATGAATTTAGTAACCGCGGGAAATAATTGTGATACCCGGTACAGGCTCATGAAATTCCACAAAAACAGATGGAAAGTTATGCAGATAATCCCAAAACATACAATATAAGTGACGTCTTTATCATTTTCAGATTATGCAATTGAACAAGTGAAGCAGCTACAGGAGAAGGCAGAAGGAATCGCTGGGCGCATGTTACCATTCCAAGTCTTCTACAGAAACCAGACTGAAGAATACTTTCAACACGTCAGGTGCATAAAGTCTCCATGTTTGCAGTGTCAATATATTCAGTTCATTCACTATTCTATCACAAATAGAGCAAAATTGTAGGGTATAATTTTAGTAACAATAGAAACCCCTTTGGTGGGCATTTAGATAGATAGATAGATAGATTATCTATCTAAATCACAAACTAAAATAACAGACAATAGTTATACCCACTATAACCAGTATCATACACCACTTAGTGATCAATATACTTCCCAAGAGTATTGGATATCCAACTGGATTATGCAGTACTTGACCCAACAAGAATCTATAAAATAATACAGAAATACATTTAGGCACTGAAGAAGACTGGGAATCAGTTGAAACGCGTTTGCTGCATCATTTTTTACTGAAGGACTTATTGTGGTGGTGGTAGTGTATATAATTTTTTGTTGTTATTTTACACACTGCTTTTAAAAGTCCTATTTTATATATGTAATACCTTTTAATAGCAAATATAACTTTGCAAAGCATTAAGCATCGTTGATGTATATCCTAAGTCAGAATTGGCACCCAGAAGCTCTCTATATAGAGCCTGGGAGTGTTTTCTCTATAAACATATTTGCAGATTGCACTGTGTATTTCTGTATTATTTTATAGATTCTTGTTGGGTCAAGTACTGCATTATCCAGTTGGATATCCAATACTCTTGGAAAGTATATTGATCACTAAGTGGTGTACGATACTGGTTATATTGGGTATACTATTGTCTGTAATTTTATTTTATGCATTTTAAGGTGTTTAGGGATACACCTTTACACACCAAATTAGTGATCTTGTTGACGAAGCGCCAATACACCTGCTATTTCACAGCCTTTATTTTGAATAAATCACAAACTAGTACATTTCACCTTTCAGGACTGTTATGAGAGATGCTTTGTCATGAATTGTCTAAAGGAGCACACCAAGCACCATAACCACAACAGCAGATGTTAGTAGTTATAGTTCCTGGTAAGCCATGCCACCTCCTTCACATTGTCAGGAGACCCTATATCAGTATGGAATATACCATTTACATGCTATCAGCAGCTTTATAAATAAATAATAGAGTCTCTAAGGATCTGGTTTTTATGACAACATAAAATGATTAAAATTATGTGTGTAATAGGCATTAGGCTAGTCAAAAAAAAAAAAAAAAAAAGCATACTATTATTTCAAATATAGCATACAAGGTAGACAATCCTTTATTTTTATGCACTGTGAAGATTATTAGCGTCCAATAATATACACACACACCTAATATAGGATCAATACGTAATCCTATACATATGTAGTATTGCTGTTGATTAAATTGATAATTGTGGAGAATTGACAAAGGAGCTGCAAATATGAGAAATTATTATAGCTAATTTTAATTAAGAATTTTCCAGTTTGGCCATTTTGAACTAAAATGTGCGTTTCCCCAGTCATTTTATCACAATGTCCATTTTAATGAGTATAATTATTCATTAAAAGTTTTGTTTTCTTCTTTGAAGTATTGTTGAAGTATTGCTTTCTTCCTTATTTGCCCAGAGAAAAGTGGGGTGGTGTGATGTTCCCGTCTCTAAAAGATCAGAGTGGCAGCCATGGATCACCCATCAGTGGTACACTTAATGGTGTGTTTTTCAGTTGCAATACCGAATTCAACACAGGTCTTCCTCCTCATGATTCACCATATGGAAGGTGGAGGGTGACTGTACCAGCTGAAAACCTCTTCAATGAAGGCACACACCTCTACTTTGCAGATTTCTATTGCATGTATACCGCCTACCATTATGTTGTCTTGGTGTTGGCACCTCGAGGGTCTCAAGGAGATGCCTACTGCAGCGCCCGTCTGCCACTGCTTGACCCTCACAGCAACCCGTTCCTGACTCGTGGGGAGCAAGGCAAATACTGGCACGCACAAGATCTGATTCTGGAAGTAATATACACAGAGCCAGTGCCTCTGAGGTTGGGGCAATTAGCGGAAATCAAGGGGCATCAACTAATGAGCCTCTCCACTACCAATGCCAAGAAGGACCCCAGTTGTAAAGTGTGCAATATCAGTGGAGGGCATTAGGGACACTGGAGATTTATGTTACTTGTGAAATGTATTTACAGATTAATTTAGAAAAATCTCTTGTTGGTTACGGGAGCGTGGAAGAGTTAAATCCTAGTGCAGGATTGTCCAACCAATCCTTTATGCCTTGTATTCCTGACAGAGTGTACACTTATATTTTGTTAGTATGTGTCTACTACTTTATTTGGCTGTTTACATCCATAATAACTGTGGTGACCTGTAGGACTGTTTGCATGGCTGAGCTGTAAAGGCAAGCCATTACTATTTTAGGGAATAGACAGAGGACAAAATAACACAGCAGGTTATTAAGTGTGAGATTGAAAGGCAACATTTTCTCATAAAGCACCTGAAATTGAATATAGTATGTGTATATGTATTCATATAAAATGTGGTCATGTAAAAAGTAATATTATCTAAACGTCTATCCCAAAGGCACAGAACAAATAAATGTTTTACGAATAACCCTGCTTGAGGGCAAGGGGTCAGATGGTTGTTTAGTCACATTTCTTTATCCCTATGTGCTCATGCAAGGATATTGTATAAATGTGTGTCTGGGTATATCCTGAGGATAAATCTGGTAAATAAGATCTACTGCTCTATATGAAAAGTAAGGATGTGAGAGACTTGGAAAGTGGATCCTCTGCTAAAGAAAGATTTACATATGAAATGAACAAAAGGGGCAAAAAAAAACAAAATTCCATCCTTGTGATGTCTTTGAACAAATAAAGACTTTTAAAGTGGCGCTGTCATGTATATAGGTTATTTGTGAAAATTAACGTTGTCTGTTTTGGAATTTTCCAACACAATCAAAATATACACATGAATTGCCCTAATTTATCACCCCCCCCTCCCCCCCCGGTCATCCTAGGCTATTTATTGAACACTTTTCTTCCTGGCTACCCCATTTCCTCTCCTCTTGCACTCCTTCCCTCATTCTTGGGGACTTTAATATCTCAATCAACAACACTAACTGCCCTGATGCCTCTCGTCTGCTCTCTATAACCTCCACCGTTGGACTCACACAGTGGTCTAAATTCATCAACTCATAGAGCAGGAAACACTCTTGACCTCATCTTCACCAATCACTGTACCACCTCTAATCTCTTCAATGTTCCATTTCCTCTATCTGACCACCATGAGCTGTCCATTGACATCCACATACCCCGTACCCAAAGTACCTCAACCTCACCACATCAGTCTCGCAAAAACCTCCATTGTCTTGACCTACAGCAATTCTCCACCAACCTCCAAAGTCTCCCTTCACCAATCTCAAATCTCACCTGCCATAACACTGCAACCTCCCTCTACAACACTCTCTCCTCTCAACTAGCTATCATGGCACCTCCTACACTTAAACCCACTAAGTGTCCCCAGTTACAGCCCTGCACTTTAAATTTATGCTGCGCTCCTACAGTCTGGCTCTTTCCTCTTCAAAAAAAAACTACTTCAATACACTCATAACCACACTCTCCCGCAAGCCCAAATGACTGTTTCATGCTTTTAACGCTCTTCTTCACCCTGTCGTGCCTCCTAGTCCTACCAGCTTGACGCCCACAAACTTTGCAACTCACTTCATTGAGAAGATTTCTACAATCAGGGAAGAGATCTCTCATCTCTCTCCATCCACTACAAACTTTTCCGCTAACCACACTCCCTCAGCTGTCCTACACTCATTTGCACCCGTTACAGCAGAAGAGGTTTCTGCTCTGCTCCGTTCCTCCCGCCCCACCTGTTCCCTCGATTCTGTTCCCTTGTATCTCGTCCGCACTTTATCTCCTTCTCTTATACTGCCTCTCACTAAAATTTTCAATCTCTCCCTCTCCTTTGGCACATTCTCTCTACCCTTCAAACATGCAACCATAACCCCAATTCTGAATAAGCCCAACCTTGACCCTAATTTCCCGTCCAACTACCACCCCATCTCGCTATTGCAATTTGTCTCCTAGATCCTTGAGTGAGTTGTGTAAGCGAGATTGACAGACGTCCTCGAATCCAACTCTCTGTTTGACCCGCTTCAATCTGGATTCCGTGCTTGTCACTCTGTTGAAACAGCTGTGACCAAAGTATACAATGATCTCATCACTGCTAAATCCCATGGCCACTATTCTATCCTAATTGTCCTCGACCTCTCTACTGCTTTTGACACTATTGATCATCACAGCTTCTTCCCATCCTTTGTGATCTCTGTCTACGAGATACTGCTCTCTCCTGGTGCTCTTCCTACCTCTCCCAGTGCTCATTTAGTGTTTCTTTCTTTGGCTCTGCCTCTTCTCCCCAATCCCTCTCTGTTGGTGCTCCTCAAGGGTCTGTCCTTGGTCCCCCATTGTCCTCAATCTACACTGCCTCCCTTGGTAAACTCATCAGCTCCTTCGGCTTCCAGTATAATTTCTATGCGGATGACACGCAAATTTATCTGTTCTCCCTTGATTTCTCACCACCGCTCTTGACTTGTGTCTCTGACTGCCTCTCTGCTATTTCCAACTGGATGGCTGCTCATTTCCTTTAACTGAACCTGTCCAAAACAGAACTTCTGGTCTTCCCTCCCTCAAGTGTTGCTATTCTCTTGTCTGTGTCCCTCCAAGTCAATGGCGCTACCATCTGCTCTACCTCTAAGACTCGCTGCCTAGATGTTCTCTTTGACTCCGACCTCTCCGTCACCCCTCATGCCCAATCAATCGCCAAATCCTGCTGCTTCCATCCTGCAGTGGTAATTATTGCAGCTTTTGATAAAATGCAATAATTGCCTTGCAGTGTTAACTTCAGCCTCTAGTGGCTGTCTACCATACACCCACTAGAGGCACTTCTGGGTGGTTAGGCAACTTTTGGTCGCCTGGCGCTGGATGTCCTCACACTATGCATGAGAACATCCAGCATCACCTAAAACCCCATAGGAAAGCATTATACAATGCTTTCCTATGGGGAAGTCCTAATGAGAGCAAGAAGCAGAGCCTGAACCAGCGCCGAGGCACATCGGCGTTGAAATCAGCTAAGTAACAGAAGGGATTTTTAACCCTTTCTGCACCACATGGGGGAGGGAGGCACTATAGGGAGCTATAATGCCAGGAAAACAACTTTGTTTCCCTTTACCTAAAACAGTCCATGATAGTGTAAGTTCTTAAGGGTCCAGATTATAATGTCTGCAAAAATGCATTTGTTCCTGAAGGGGTTAAGTACAAGAATCATATGGACTGCAATGAAAAAGTAAACGACATCCCACATAGCAGCCAGATTCTGACATGATGGGAGAGACTTGGCATAACTCGCTTTTTCTTCTGCGAGCACACTGTGTACGTGCATGCCAACTGTTACACATTTCTACATACACTCACAATTTTAAGCTGTTTTAGTTCCCAGTCCCAGCTTTGAAAATTTGCTTGGCTTTTACGAATTAGTAGGCTGTTCTATTTGCAGAGGGATTAATAATATAAGATACAAACCGAACACTTAAAAAAAAAAAAAAATCAGGGCAAATGTTTTATCCTACCCTATTATGTCTCATTTTTGGCTTGTTCTTTTTGTGTTGGAGGAATTGATATACGTATATAAAAATGGGGTACATTGGCGTTGTGGCAGGCCTATGCAATGTATGATGATATACTGTAACTAAACCCCCATTATTTTATGCCTGGGAGAGGTATGAGACCTAAAAAATGCTGTTTAGTGAATGAGAGAGTGCGCTGGATCTTGTAAGTTTTATATATAAACTAATAAAGTATTTTTTTTTCTTTTTAAAATGCCAGTGGTTTTTCTTGAGCCTCCTGTAATTATTTTAGATTATTGCACATATAATTCCGCCACACAGTTTCTTTAGCACTAAAACCACAAAAGGAAAGTAGAATTTTGTAAGTGTTAATTGTTTGATTCTCTAAACTGCTGCTAGTAAATAATGTCGATACAATCAAAGAAACACAGCTAGCACACAATGTGATCACAAACATGCAACATTTAAACATCCTAGCCATGTACAGGACAGCAAAGTAGCAGCTTGCCCTGTAAATTTTGTTTTCCAGCACAATTTTATATATATATATATATATATATATATATATATATATATATACATACACATATGATCATGTGTGTATGTATAATATATATATATTTATATAATACACAAGATCCAGCGCACTCACGCATCCACTAAACAGCAACTTCAAAGCTCACAGATTTTATTTGTTTGTTTTTTTAAAACACCGAATCTAGGCAAAAATAATGGGGATTTAGTTACAGTATATGATCATACATTGCATAAGCCTGCCACAACGTCAATATACCCCATCTTTGGCAGGTCCTAAGAGCCTAATGTCTGCTCTTATGAGAATAATCCACTTACTTGGGAAACATAGGCTAAATAGGGCCCTGGAATGAGGCACCTGTAAAAGAGAGGGGTGCACCTCCATATAGAGAAGCATTTTATTGGACCATTTTCACTGCTCAGAGTTCATTTGCACACTCTGAGCCAGTGGTGGACAAGCAAGGATATTATTTAAAAAGAAACACACAAAAAAACTGAGAACTGAGCTGTCAATGCAGGGAAGGAGTGCACATAAGGACGGAAGATTGTGATGTCTGTCACTAGCACACTGGCGACAGACATAATTTTTACACAGAATTGACATTACGATGAATGGAACAGTTCTGGTCTGCCTAAGTCACGTGTGCCGGGTTTGCAACTTACTCCCGGAATAAAAGTGCAAATAACTCTATGTTGTGTGCAGTGTTTAAATCAGAAACGCTGCACATACAGATTTCTACCATCATGGCCACTTCTAAAAGCATAAATAGTTATTGTGGTCGGAGTCGGAGGGGTGCTCCTCCCTGTCACAGGTGCCTCTTTAGCCTTGTACTGCAGAGAGCCCCAGATAGAATCTCATAAGGACAGGCATTAGGCTGTTAGAGTAGGACCAGCCAAAGATGGAGTACATTGACATTGTGGCAGGTTTATGCATTGTATTATCATATACTGTAACTAAACCCCCAGTTTTTTTGACTAGATTAGATGTATTTAAAAAAAAAAAACTAATAAAATGTTTTGACATTGCTGTTTAGTGGATGTGTGAGTGCACTGGATCTGGCCCTCAGCAACACCCCATTTATGCATGTTCAGGTGAGTGCAGCCCCCTGGTTTCATATATATATATCTATATTTACTGTATATATAAAACATGCAAGATCCAACACATTCACTCATTCATTAAACATCAATTTCAAGGCTCACAAAATGTAATAGGCAAAAATAATGGGGGTTTAGTTACAGTATATGATCATACATTGCATAAGCCTTATACATAAATTATAAATGTGTTGAAGTTTCAGTCCTCTCTGGGACTTTTCTCAAGACGGTCTTGGTGTATAATTGCACAATAAAACACGAATTATCCACAAAGTCCTGTGAGTGCACCTTCCTTGATACTTATATTTTGGCATAGGTGATTTGCACCCAGGCAAGGACAAGACCGGGAGAGTGAGTGCTAGATCCACGTGTATATATATTTAAGGCTGGGCCTGTAGTTGTGGGAGGGGCTTGGATCCCCTTTAAAAGGGCTGCCAATCTTAAAAGGGCTGCCAATCCTCTCCCACTTTACTGTTGTTGGTCTGGCGAGTTGAGGGGTTACTTCTGGTCAAGTTGTCATTTTGCGGTCTCTTACCTGTTTTCCCTCGTGGTCCTGGTTCCTGGCTCCTGTTTCTGTTCTACTTACCCTACTGCTCACCAAACGCTACAAGCACGCTGCCTCCTCCGGCTTGCTCAGAGACTGGTCTTGGTGCGGCTCGTTGTCAACCGTAAGTCAGACCCTTCCCGTCAGACATTTACAATTCCTATACCTTACTCCTGTTAGCAGGTAGTACTGGCTATCAGGGATTTAGGTGTCCAAATAGGTTATGTTTTCTGGTCTTAAGCAATAGGCTAGTGGTCCTGCGAGGCCAACACCCATCCTCATACTCCGAGGTATACGCCCATCAGCTTAAAGCATAGCTATTTGCCTTGCATGATTGCATAGAGAGGGCCTCACATGTCACTCCCGTACTATCTTATGCTTTAGTTATCACCGAGAGGACAACACCCCGCCACACCATTCGGTGGCCTCAAATCCCCTCGGGCCAATGCATAGTTAGAGCCTCTCATGACGCTTGGCAACTAGCAGGGCTTCACCTATCACTTTGTGATAGTATAATTTTTTGCCGCTTCGCCAGTACCAGGCTACGTTGTCTCACTCATGGTAATTACAGTATATATATATATATATTTATCTCAGTATGTCTCAAATTCCTGAAGTACCAGAAGAACTGTCCCTTCCTAGCACCCCCGCTAGGTCCTATACCCCTGCCCACGGAGCTGATGTGACTAGTACATCTTCACTTAGATCATGGACTATTCCACGCCTCACAGCAGAGCTCTGTAGAAGATGTATTCCTTTCCCAGCTACTGCCAGGAAAGCGGAGTTATTCAGACTGCTCAATACTAACACCCACAACTCAGATGCAGGGGAAGGGCCTAGTGGGACTCAGATGCCAGCTGTTAATGCTATGATGACCATGTTGATGTCTTCTATTGGAATTATAAGTGATAAACTGGAGAAATTAGAATCAGTCTGTTCCTCCAATGTACCTGCAGGGCCTGCTATTCCTGATTCCGCAGGCTCCGCTGTCATGCCCAGTAACTCTCTTGCCACATTTAAGGTCCCCGAGAGTATCAACCCATCGCAAATGTCTCAAAAAGTATCTCGCTCCTCATTGCCTCCCAGGATGTCCTTGAGAACAGGACTTTTGCATATGGGGATATTTCAGTGGTGCTAGAGATCCTAGGCTGAACAAAAAACTGTCTATACCTGAATTTGTGTTAGGTTTTGGGATTTTTAGGGATTATTTGCTCTGTATATCCTGAGAAAAGGGAAGAGTTGGACGTATAAATGCACAAGCTAGTGGATCTGGGGCACACACAGGGACGTATTAGCCACGAGGCAAACAAAGCATTTGCCTTGGGCGGCATTTTCCAGGGGGCGGCAAAAAAAGCCGCCCCCAAATGCCCAGGGCAAATGCCTAGTTAGCCTCGTGGCTAACTGACATGCCGGGCACTGGGCGGCGCTGGCAGGCGGCTGGCGAGGGAGCTCTTCCTCTGAGCACTCTGCTCAGCTCCCTCGCGCGCCGCAGAGTGAGGCTGGGAGCCGGAAGATGGCGTCATATTCCGGCTCCCAGTCTTACTCTGCGGCGCGCGAGGAAGCTGAGCAGAGTACTCAGAGGAAGAGCTCCCTCGCCAGTGCCGCCCGCCCAGCAGCCAGCCCATCAGCCTCTGGACCCCCCAGGGAGAAAGAGAACCCCTCTCCCCCCAGCACTCCCAAAGGTAAGGAGTGTGTGTGTGTTTGTGTCTGACTGTGTGTGTGTGTTTGTGTCTGTGTGTGTGTTTGTGTCTGACTGTGTGTGTGTGTGTGTTTGTGTCTGACTGTGTGTGTGTCTGTGTGTGTGTGTCTGACTGTGTGTGTGTTTGTGTCTGACTGTGTGTTTGTGTCTGACTGTGTGTGTGTGTGTGTGTGTGTTTGTCCTGCCTAGGGCAGCACAAAACCAGGATACACCACTGGGCACACATACGGTGGTACAGCCTTCTATGACTACCACCGTTCCTTCTGCAAAAGTGGCAGCAGCTCTTACTCAGTTTAACTACAGCATAAATTGGAGTAAGTTAGATACTGAGTTATTCTGCAGGCATTTTGCAGGCCTCAGGACTCCAGCTTGTGCAGTTTGTGCATCCACAGCACACCATACCAACCCATGCCCTAATACAGCGGAAGTTGAGCAGGGTCACTTAGGCCCTAACTCTGCAAGACCAACCAGAGTTTTGAAGGATAAGCTGGGTAGGGACATCGTCTTCCTGGGCAAATCCCAAATATGTAACAATTTTAATGCAGGTACTTGTGGTTTTAGTTCCTGTAGGCTGTTACACGTTTGTGCTCACTGTTTCCTGGCTCACGCAAAAACCATGTGCCTTAATAAAATGTTTCCTAAACCGTACCCCACTTGCATCAACTTCACGTTATTTGCTGTTTTATTACGGCACCACCACTCACAAAACTTGGTTACATTTTTCACTGAAGGGTTTCACACGGGTATCATACATTTGCCATCTGGTACACTGGAATGCAATAATCTACAAACAGCAATGACAGATCCAGAGTTAGTGAGTGATCTTATTAAAATTGAATTGGAACAGGGTTTTGTGTTAGGACCATTTGCTTCCCCATCTTTCACTTCATGGAGAACTAATCCTATTGGGGTCATCACGGGTAAAACTTCACATAAACCCAGACTGATCACTGATTTATCAGCACCACATTCCTCCACTATCCCCAGTCTCAATTCCCTCATACCCTCTGTCAAATTCTCTCTGCAATATGCCACTATTGACAATGCCATCTGGGCCATTTTGGCTGCTGGGACAGGAGCATGGCTCAGTAAAACGGACATTGTCAATAGAGTTGAGCGGATGTTTGGGTCCGGCGGGTTCGGCCGAACTTTGAAAAAAAGTCCGGGTTCAGGCTCGAACTTGACCCCGAACCCCATTGGAGTCAATGGGGACCAGAACTTATGGGCACAAAAATGCCTCTAAAAAAGTCCTGGAAAGGGGGCAGAGGGCTGCAAAAGGAAGTAAAATGGGGGTAAGAGTAGGACAAATGCCCTGCAAACAAATACATAAAATAAGCAGCCACTTAGTAGATAACGCCCTAATTCCCACAGTATTAGGGAGCTATCTACCAAAAGGCTGAAAGACCTAAATTGGTCTTTCAGCCAAATTTACTAATACTAAGTAAAGATTACTTAGTATTAGTAAATTCAGCCCCTACTCGCTATACCGCGAGTAGGGGCGTGTCTAGTAAACAGTGAGCAGACAGTGGCTGCTCACTGTAAAAAAACAACCTATTGCCCCCACCCCTGTGCGACGGGTGGGGGCCCTAAATAAGAATGTGAGCGGCGGATGGACATAACAATAAAGGGGGGGACCTACTGTCCTCCCCCCTGGCCCCCACCCCTGAGCGGTGGGTGGGGGCCATAAAGAGGAATGTGGGGGGGACCTACTGTCCTCCCCCCTGCCCCCACCCCTGAGTGGTGGGTGGGGGCCCTAAATAAAAAATTAAACCCCCCCCAGGTGACTAGGGGTTTGGGGACCCCCCCAAAAAATAACCCCTACCTACCCCATCATCCTAAAAATAATGAGGGGGGACCCTTATCTAAATACCTGTAAAAAAAAAAAATAGACTTACCATTTGATGTCTTCTTTCTTCTAAGTTCTTCTTTTTTCAGCCCCAAAAAAGGCCGAATAAAAATCCATAAATCCATAAAAAATTATAATAAACAAAAAAAACATTTTCACCCATGGAGGGCTCTGCGCAGACTGAGCTTGTAAAGCCTTGTCCCGCCCTGCAATTAGGCTCAGAGCACTCTGATTGGTGGGTTTAAGCCATCCAATCAGAGTGCTCTGGCAGGTAAATGAAGCGACTGACAGGTATTATTTTTAGGATGAGGGGGGTAGGTAGGGGTTATTTTTTGGGGGGGAGATGGGTGACTAGGGGCTTGGGGACCCCTAGTCACCGGGGGTGGGTTAAATTTTTATTTAGGGCCCCCACCCGCCTCTCAGGGGTGGGGGCCTGGGGGGGAGGATAGTAGGGCCCCCCTTATTGTTATTTAGGGCCCCCACCGCCACGCAGGGGTGGGGGCCCGTGGGGGAGGACAGGTCGTCCCCCCACAATTTTTATTTATGGCTCCCACCCACTGCTCAGGGGTAGGGGCTGGGGTGGAGGATAGTAGGTGTCCCCCCCAATTTTTATTTATGGCCCCCACCCACCACTCAGGGGTGGGGGCCGGGGGGGAGGACAGTAGGTCCCCCCCCAATTCTTATTTATGGCCCCCACCCGCCGCTCAGAGGTGGGGGCCGGGGGGGAGGACAGTAGGTCCCCCCCCCTTATTGTTATTTAGGGCCACCACCCACCGCTCAGGGATGGGAGCAGGGGGGGGAGTTCAGTAGGTCCCCACCTCCAATTTTTATATATTTATTTTTGGCCCCCACCCACCGCTCAGGGGTGGGGGCCGGGGGAGGAGGACAGTAGGTCCCCCCACAATTTTTATTTATGGCCTCCACCCACCGCTCAGGGGTGGGGGCCAGGGGGGAGGACAGTAGGTCCCCCCACAATTTTTATTTATGGCCTCCACCCACCGCTCAGGGGTGGGCGCCAGGGGGGAGGAAAGTATTGTTATTTATTGTTATTTAGGGCCCCCACCAGCTGCGCAGGTGTGGGGGCCAGGGGGTAGGACAGTAGGTCCCCCCCTATTGTTATTTAGGGCCCCCACCCGCCGCTCAGGAGGGGGGAATTTTTTTTTTTTTAAAGTGAGCAGCCACAGGTTGCTCACTCTTTAATAGTCATGCCCCTACTCGCGGTATAGCGAGTAGGGGCATAATTTAATAATACTAAGTAACCAGCTTATATAGAGGCTGGGTCACATGCTGTACTGGTCAATCACAGCCATGCCATTAGTAGGCATGGCTTCTAAGGGCAAACGAGTCAAACGCTTGTTGATTGGCTGCCCTGCAGCCTATCAAAATGCGTCATTAAATCGCCGAACACCAAACTCCAACCCGAACATACAGTGATATGCCAATGTTTGGGTCCGGGGTCCAAAAAACATAATGTTCGGTACGAACCTGAACTTTACAGTCCGAGTTCGCTCAACTCTAATTGTCAACACTTTCAAGTTACTTCCCATTCACCCATCACTTTGGCATCTGCATGGCATTAAGTGGCAGGGTTTATATTATTTCTTCTCCCGGCTCACGTTCGGCTCCAAGAGCAGCCCCAAAATATTTGATATCTTTGCTGAAACCTTGTGTTGGTAGCTACTGAATGTGTGCAGATGTCCAATTGTAATTCACTATTTAGATGACTTTCTCATGATTGAAAACAACTCACTACCCCTTAGCAGCCTTAAACACATGTTGGCTCTTTTTGAGTCCCTGGGCATACCGGTCTCCCATAAAAAACGGTAGGTCAGGACACAGTTATGTATTTTCTGGGGATTCAATTAGACTCAATTCACATGCAGGCAAGTCTTCCCCAGGATAAGATTGAGTGCAACCTAGCGGGTATCGAGCTGTACTTACAGCTAGGTTCTTGTAACTTGAAAGAAATTCAATCTCTGCTTGGGTCGCTCAATTTTGCCATGAGGATCATTCCCCAGGGTAGAGCTTTCATTTCCTGTCTACTTTCTTTGTCTGACCTCACCTCAGACAAATCACGCATCACTTTAGACACTCACGCAACAGCTGACTCACTTATGTGGCGCATTTTTCTCACATCTTGGAATGGGCAAGCCATGTTCATCCCCCCTCTTTCCGACAATTCACCTACACTCTGGACAGGTGCTGCAGCCAATACTGGCTTTGCTGCCATCTGTGGAAATAAATAGCTTTGGGGTCTATGGCCAAGAGAAGTTAAGTCCCTACCTAGCTTCTCCACTACATCGGCCATGTTTGAATTATACCCAATCGTGGCCGCTGCAATTGCCTGGGGTCCAGACTGGGCTGGTCACTCAGTCAGATGTTTTTTTGACAACCTAGCCACTTGCCACATTATTAAAGGCCTGTCATTATCTTTGGTAATTATGAGGTTTTTAAGGAAACTCACATGGGTAGCGACCACTTGCAAATTTTTCATCAACTGCATTCACGTTCTGGGTGTCACAAGTATATAAGCTGATCATTTGTTTCAATTTCAGGCCTTCCTCCAGACTCTGCCCACCGCTTCCTGGCTGCTCCTGGATTAGATCACGTAATCTTTCCCACCTTGCACCAACTCTAGCAAAATCTAGGATAGGGCCTTTCACATTTTCACAAAGTTCATAGCGGAATTTCAAGTTCAGGACATGTTTGCTTTGGAAACTATATGGGGGTTCACTTCTTTTTGCCACCTTAACTTAAAATTATCTTTTAACACGATCAAACTTTATCTAAAGGGCATCCAACACCACATGCTATTACAACATCCTAATAAAACAGGATTCCTTTCATCATACCAGATAAAGGCTTTACTGCAGGGAATCCAAAAGACAGATACACATCTACCCCCTCAAAGACTACACATCCACAATAAAATTTTCCAATCATTATCCAACTTGTTAGATACAGCTCCATTCGAACATATAACCAATATGGTAATTAAAACATCCATCTATCTAGTCTTTTATGGATTTTTACGTCCAAAGGAATTCACCACCACTAATGTAACAGCCACAGACTACATTAAAATAACCGATATCAACAAATCCTTAGACCATTACATTCTGGCATTTCATCACTCTAAAACGAGCCAGATGGGACACACGGTTGACATATCGCTTTTCCCTAAGTATAATAAATGGTGCCCCGTTAAGGTTTTGGACACCTATTTCAAAACTTTCCATAAACAACCACACCAACCACTATTAGAACTACACGGCTCCATTCTCACTACTGCTAATTTTATTCTCTATGTCCGTATGCTGTTGACTATACTTGGCCTAAATGCAAATTATTACTCAGGACACTCCTTCCACATAGGGGCGGCATCATCTGCTTCCTCCAACCACATTCCAACTCATATAATCAAAGCTATGAGACGCTGGAAATCTTCTGCTTACATTCTATACATACCAAACCCAGTTAAAGAGTTACAGCAAGCTTTTCGTGATTTGTCCAAATAATGTTTTGTAATATGAATAACTTTTTGTATCGTACACTTCTTTTTGCCCTCTTTATTACAGGACCGACTGGTGTTATTTAAATATGTTTGTTGTTTATGAATTATGTTACCTCACCATCACAGCAATATTGCCCTGACCACAAATATATATATATATATATATATATATGTGATTTATAAAAGGCCAAGAAATTCCACAGTGCTGTACAATGGGTGGATTAACATACATGCATATGTAACTAGACAAGATGGACGCACAGGGACATCTGTGGGAGGGTATTGATGGACCTGCTCAAACAAGCTCACATTCTAGAGGGAGTGGGGTATAGTGACACACAGGGCTGGACTGGGAATGCAAAGCAGCCCTGGAAAAATATGTATGCCAGCCATTCTGCGACGGTAGTGTGTGTGTGTATATATGTGTATATATATATATATATATATATATATATATATATATATATATATACATACAGTGGGACCTCGGTTTACAAACGCCCCGTTTAACATAATTTTCGGTTTACAAATGAAAATCCATTGAAAATAATGCCTCGGTTTACATTTTTTTTTCGCAATACAAAGCAAGTTTCCCTAGGATGCATTGCACCTGGGAGGTTTATAGCACCGCCCCCTGCATGCCGGAGCTTGTGGGTAGCACGTGGCGTCGAGTGTGAAGGTGGTAGAGAGGTTTTTGCATAGAGTTTTTGAGCCATTCTGGAAATTGTTTGCAGTTGTTTTAGGGCTTTTTGGTGCATTTCTGAAGCTGGGGAAAGGTAGGGAGCCGAGCTTCATCATTTGCATAGGCGTGCGCACGGGCTGTGCCTGGGCACACCCTAATCCCCGCGGCACGCCTATGTATTGAGACCATCAGGGGAGATCTCAGAGCCGGCGCTATCCGGCAACGCTCAGATCTCGCGAGAGTGAACTCTAGCCCTGCAGGCTAGAGTTCACTCTCACCACTAGGACCACCAGGGAAGGCAGAAAGGATCCCCCTCCCTGGCATAGGGTAACAAGGGAGGGGGGATATTAAGCAATCTGCCCCCACCTCCACTGGACCACCAGGGAAGGCAGCAGCACGGTCCCCCCTCCCTACATAAGGTAAGAAGGGAGGGGGGATATTTATTAACTAATCTGCCCTCACCTCCACCCCCATAAATTACCCAAACATACAGCATACACATACATACAGCACACACACACACATACAGCAAACAAACAGCACACACACATACAGCACACATACACATACAGCACACATACACATACAGCACACACACACATACAGCACACACACATACAGCACACAAACAGCACACACACACATACAGCACACACACACACACAAACAGCACACACACACACACACACAGTACACACACATACATACAGCACACACACAGCAAACAAACATCACCCACCCAGCATACAGCACACAACCAGAACACACATCACCCACACACACACAGCATCTTCACACATACAGCACACAAACAGAACACACATCACCCAAAACACAGCACCCATACACACACATACAGCACCCACACACACACATACAGCACCCTCACAAACACATACAGCACCCTCACAAACACACACAGCACACTAACAGTACCCTCACAAACACAAACAGCACCCACACACAGCACACTACCAGTACCCTCACACACAAACAGCACCCTTACACACAGTACATTAACAGCACCCTCACAAGCGCCCACACACAAACACCCTCACCCACATAGCACACTACCAGCACCCTCACACAGCACACACACACAGTAGTGTATGTGTGTGTGTGTATATATTTATATATATATATATACATACATATATATACGCGGCGTGTGCTTGTGCTTTAGGGTGCACACCCTAATGCAATAGGCTACGCACGCCTATGATCATTTGCATGCCTTTTATTGTGTGTTCTGCATTGTGGGTTGGTTTCCATGCCAGCTCATTTTGACTTTTTTCTGACCTCCAAAACGGATTTATTGGTTTTCAATGCATTCCTATGGGAAACCACGTTTCGGTTTACAAATGTTTCGCAATAAGAAACGTCCCAGTAGAACGCATTAGATTCGTAAACTGAGGTCCCACTGTATATATACACAAACACTACCATGGCACAATGACCTTATAGGGCTAGCATAAATTTTTTCCCCATAGATTTTATATATATATATATGTAAAATCTATGTTTATGAATTAGAATTACTCAATCTGAGGTTGCAAGACGTAGCTATATTTTAAATGTTATAAAGGGATTTTTAACATTATCACTAAAGGATATATAAATAAATATATACTTTTATTATTGGTATGTTCTTTTTTTAATTATAACTATTAGTAATTCAGGGTAAAAAATTAAATTATACAGTAAGCATACTCACATGCAGGCACAGACTATCTCATTGACACAAGCTTACAAGTTCACTGGTACACAGTCTTACAGACAGGCAATCTCACTGACACACACAAGATCATTGACAAACACAGACAAGCTTACAGTACATACAATACAAACAATTCTACACAATAAAGTGCAAATCACACAAAGTGTGGGGGTGGTAGCTGGAATATAAGTGCAACTCCACAGTGTTTAAAAAACCACTTAAAAAACACAAATATAAATACAGTACATACAAACTTAGTACAGACAAACTCTCTGACACACACACATGCTTACTACAAACTCACTGGTATGCACAAAGATACTTACTACAGACAAGCTCACTGACACACACAAATGTCACTACAGACAAGCTCATTGACACACAAGCTTACTGACACAAACATGCTCACTAACAAACACATGCTCATTACAAGCTCACTGACCCAAACATGCTTACTACAGACATGCTGACTGACACAGACATACATGCTTACTACAGACATGCTCACTGACCCTTACATACATGCTCACTGCAGGCATGCACACACGCACACACACACACACACACACACACAAAAGTCCACTCTCACAAGCTGCAGTGTATTTGAAGCCTACCTGACACTGCAGGCTGCTGCTGTGGAAGTCCTAAGAGGTGAGGACTCCATTTCCTGGCCTCTTCCTGCCCTGAGGTCAGCAGCTTTAGATCGGGGGCAGAGGTCGAGCCTGGGAGCGGAGTATGTAATTGGAGGCAGAGCTTGAGTGGCAGAAAGCTCCCTCCCTGCAGTGCTCCCTCTGGCCACCGCATCCTCAATGCAGCTGCACCAGCACCAAACTCCTCCCTCCAATATCCCCTCGGACTCTCACAGTCTGAGGGGAAACTTACCAAATTGTATAAGTTATAGGTATTAGGGCTTTCTCCCTGGCCCCAAGTGCTGCGGCCCACCGGGAAATTTCCCGGTATCACGGTGGGTCAGTCCAGCCCTGGTGACACAGAAGGTAAGGGGATTGCTAGAATACTATTCACTGAGGGATTAGTGTTTTGTTTTTTTATATAATATCTCAAACCAATGGGCTGAGCAAAGTAATGTGACATCACCAAAAGGAAAATAGCAAGATACATTTATCCACATACCCCACACATTCATCAACATACATTTTTCCAACTCTACACGTTAACTATATTATTTGTATACATCATTTGTGAGTGATAGGGCTTGTTTGTGTGTGTGCATAGTGTGTGCATAGAGACTGAGTATGGGTTGAATGTGGATGAGATAAGATGGCAGACAAACAATGAGTGAGAGGGTGAGGTGGTAGGGGCAGGGATGAAAGTGGAGGACGTCTGTAAAGAGAACTGATGCTGGAAGGTGGAAATGAAGACCTAGGAGGACAACTGAGACAGGTAGACTGCAGGCAGGCACAGGGTGACATATAAAGTGGGATGGAGGTAAATTCACATACAGTCAGAGTTAGAAACAGAACAGAAAGGGTCACAATTACCCAAAGGTCAGCCTGCTCACAAGGTGAGCTGACTGAAGGTGGTTAAGTTTATGGTTAGAAGAAGCATACCGACTGACAAGGCAGTGAGCAGAAGGTATGATTAATGGCAAGTTGTGGTTGCTGTAAACCTTGTAAGACCTACAATGTAGATAACATATTGAATATGGCTGGCTGCAGGAGGATGAGCAAGTAAGGAGTCTGCTCCAGCAACGGCCACTGGTAACAACCTTTCTCCCCATGAACAGTAAGTGAGAGGACATGTTGACTGACATAGTCAGAAGTGTCTGTAGGAGGTAATATCAGTAGAATTGCCAGCATCAATAGGTAAGCGCTAATTCAGTAATCTGACATAACAAGGCCATACCAAAATGTCCATAAATATCTAAAATATATTACACAAATGTAAGGCTGCATCTCTAGAGAACATTCTGTTTTGCATACAATGGACCTGGACAGATAACCTGTGAAAGTGTAGCTATTAAAGAATTACAAGTACCATGTTGCTCTGCAAAGTGTGTTTTATTTGGTCCAGTATGATTTTTGTGAGTATAATATTTAGCAGCCATCAGGGACAACATTTTAAGCCCCCTGGCAAAGCAGTGCTCTGGGGCCCTACCAACACAACCACTATCAGGAATAAAAATTGTAATTATCGATAAGTACAAGCTTATATTTATTGGTACCTTCAACAAATGCAATACATACATATAATACATACACCCTGACTGCTGAACACACACACACAGTGAGGGGTGCAGTGTGTGTGTGAGGGGTGAAGTTCGTGCTTGTGTGGGGTGCAAAGTGTGTGTGAGGGAGAGGGAGAAAATTTATATTTATTATAATTTATTATAATTTTATTTTTAAAAAATAAAAATAAAACCCATATGCCGGGTCGGAGCATTGTCATGGTAATGCTCTGACCTGCCTTTCCACAGGAGGAACACAGCCTCCTGGGTTCTATCTCCCTCACCTAACAAGTGTTCCCTGCAGTAAGACAGCATGGTAGCCATTGTATGTTTTTGTGGGTAGTGTCTAATTGCAAACCCCCAATAATTGTCTTGCATTTTTTTCTGCCTGTGGTAAATTTAACCCCATGGCTTCTTAGTAGTAAGATCCACAGTGAAAACCGTCAAATACTACCTTACATGGTAAGTGCCATCTAAATAGGAAGTAGAGAAGGTATTAATGTGCATTTAACCAAGAAAAACTAAGAGTTGTAAATAAGTTAATAAGGGTGTGTTATGATAAGTTGATGTTGTGTGATTGATGTAGCTATATGTGATCTGTATTACACAATAAATAAAATGCACCAATTTACTGAAGGAACTCATCAGCAATTGCGGTCCCCCTTACAAAGCCTCACACATACAATTTCACATTCACATTCCCAGACATACACACATGGTTATTCTCTTTCACACACAATATTTCTAAACAAATTCAGAAAAATACATTTGCAGTGATGCAAACACGTCAGACACATACAAAGATTTATATATACATTCCTAGCCATACTGTGCCACACACAGATACATGTCACACACTGATATGGTGTGCTGTCCAATTTGGAAAGGTATTTCTATTTCCCCAATTTCAGCGCTGTGACCCCAATTTACCCCGACTGGGTACCTCCGCCAAATATGCTTCCTAGTTATCGCTGGGATAACATAAGCACTTTCAGCCCCTTAGCTACCGCAGCTTGGCTGGGGTCTCGCCTCCTTTTCCCACCCTGGATCCGAGTCCTGGATCCAGCTCCCAGTGGTTAGAGCTCTCATCCAGAGAGTATAGCAGTATAGTAGTAATTAGAGTAGGTAAAGCATTTCCCCACACACATGAGCAGAGGGTTAATGCAGGCACAGTCACAGAATTTATACAAAAAGTAAACTCCTCCCCTGTGCCTGAGAGATAATTGTGTCAGGAACTGTACAAACTCAATTATCTCCAGGTACAGAAACACATACAATTTTAAAACACCCCAAAAGTACCCCCAAAATCCATGGAAACCCCACAAGAGTTACATCCTCGGATAGCCCCAATTTGAGTGACCAACATATCAAATCACTCAGATCTGTTCAGTGGTTCAGATTTTCCATGAAGGTCAACTTTTGACCGACCACACACATGGCTTCTGCCCAAAATAGTTCCATAAGAAAAGTGGTAGCAGTCTGTTAATTTCAGGAGTCCAAAACCAAACAAACGAAGTTTGTTGTAATGGGGAGCTTGTTCCCTTAATCCATGTGAACGATTACACCGAACAGTGCCCTTCTAGGATGTAAAGAAACGAACACAGGTGATGATGGACGTTCAGAGGTGTTCGTGAGGTCGAGTGTCCGATTTCAGTTCCATGCACTCGATGACCAAACAGCGCTGCCTGCGCTTGTGCGAACAAGATGGCTGTTCGTGCTTACGATCGCCGGCCACCCAGCCGAACACTAGAACACTGAGGTGTGAATCGTTAGCAATGTGTCAGTAGGGGTTAATAAGCATCCGGGTGGTCCTTAGTTTGTGGATTTGTTCGGTTCCCGAACAACAAAGGGAAACCGCACAAACCAAGTCTTTTAAAAAGTCTTTTACATGGCCCATAGTCCTTGGGCAGGAGGCTGGCCAGCAGGCGCCTCCAGGAGCTAGTGGTAGAGGCAACTTTGCCACAAGCGCATATAAATAATGAGTCCCTAGAGGGCACTATTACTTGAACTGACCCACAGCAGAGAGCCTTTAATGCCCTAATGGTCGCCATGGATTTACCGGTACTTATTTCTAGTATTATGTGTGCTTCTATAACCAAATATTCACATACACAGAATTGTTTACAATGCACAATGATGTTAAACGCTGCATACATGTAATTAATGTACTCAAGCTACCTATGCCAATACAGCATGCACACGGTCAGTGGTGCAAGATTTGCAGACTCTCAGATATAGGAATAGACATTTCCTATAGATATACAGTACCTGCGTACTGTGGGTCTCTTCCATAGGGGAGCTTAGGGCCATGCTCCACAACATAATTGTTGTCATAATAAAAATATATATATATATTTATATTGCAAGTGGTAAAAGTGTAAACTACAGACATTGTACCCCTGAGGGAGAAGGGCTTAATTTGCAGATGTCCATAATAAATGGTTAGCATACACCAAACAATACTAAATTGCACCCAACATTTCATCCACCAGAGCACAGAGTGATTTACTGATATTGGCTAAATGCACTTCTGCTAAACTCAGTCTGCTACATTTATTCTCCAGTAGGGATGTAACCGAGGAAGTCCACTATATCACAGTTCACAGGTCTTACCATCTTACGTATCAATTTGTTACATCAAAAGTAGTCTCGTAGTAGAGAATAAGGTTTGTAATATGAAATTCATCAGTTCAATCCTACATATTTCTAATTTTAGATCTTTATTTTATTCCAGGTGTATTGTAATTAGCAAATTTGTTTATTGAAATAACTCTCAATATTGTCTTCATTTATTTTGTGAATGAAATTATTGAAACTTGGACAAACCGCAGTTGCATTACTGATTTTCTGTGGGGTGAATGAAAAAGTCTACTTATTTATGTGATAGTTCTTGTACAACAATATATTCACTGCATTTGGCATCTCAAACTAGGTTTATTTTTCTTTAAAGGACCTCTATAGTGCCAGGAAAACAAACTTGTTTTCTTGGCACTCTGTAGTCCTTAGGTCCCCCCCACCCTCATGGCCCTCCTCCCGCTGGGCTGAAGGCGTTAAAACCCCTTCATCCACTTACCTTTCTCCAGCACCAGGCTCCCTCTGCGCTGGTGACCTCTCCTCCTCCTGTCGACGTCAGCGTCGAATGCGCTGCAAGAGCCACGCACGCATTCAAACCGCCCATAGGAAAGCATTACTCAATGCTTTAGCGCGGAAGTGGCCTCTAGTGGCTGTCAGTGAGAACTGAAGTTGAACTGAAGTGGTCTGGGTGCCTATAGTGGTCCTTTAATTTAACAAAACTAATGTTAATAAAAAATAAAAAATGTTTTATGCCTCTTCAAGGAACTGAACGCCAGTTGCCAGGCTGAAAAGCAAAACATTGAAAGAGTAACTGTCACTTTCTAGCTTTTGGCACAGCCAAATAGCACAATTTGGAATTGCCACGTTTCTGGAAGTGACACTTTCTTTTTAACCACTAGGCTAAGGGCAAGCATGTAGTTGTAAAGTTCTGTTACATTACCAGTATTGCAAGTCTGCTGAAAATGTATCCCCCAATCCAAGCACTATATGTGTTTGTTGAAGCATGCTGCCTGCATGTCCAACGTTTTAACTTCTTATTGTCTTCTCCTGTATCTTCGTCTTTTTATTTTAAACTGGATTTTTTTTTTATGCTGACAATTATAATAATTGAATATTTGACCATAATTTATTGTATCAGAGGAGAAATGGTTTAACTTATAATTCTAAGCAGTTTCCAGTATTCTGATTCATCAATAATTTCAATGTTTTATAACCTTATGAGTGCCAGACATGTGCGCACACATTGCTTTGTACTGTGCTGGCCTTTTGTCTGGCACTCAAAGGGTTAAACAAGTACACTAAAGCTTTTTCTAAAAACTATTATTTTAACAGCCATTTGACATTTAATGAGAATAACATATCAGGAGGTTTAGTCAAGTTAAATTTCATAATTTCACCACCATCTTAAAGGACCACTATAGGCACCCAGACCACTTCAGCTTAATAAAGTGGTCTGGGTGCCAGGTCCATCTAGGTTTAACCCTTTTTGCTGTAAACATAGAAGTTTCAGAGAAACTGCTATGTTTACCTATGGGTTAATCCAGCCTCTAGTGGCTGTCTCATTGACAGCCGCTAGACGCGCTTCCGCGCTTCTCACTGTGATTTTCACAGTGAGAAGACGCCAGCGTCCATAGGAAAGCATTGAGAATGCTTTTCTATGAGACTGGCTGAATGCGCGTGCGGCTCTTGCCGCGCATGCGCATTCAGCCGATGATGGAAGAAGAGGGAGGAGAGTCCCAGCGCCGAGGGAGCCCGGCGCTGGAAAAGAGGTAAGGGTTTAACCCCTTCCTCCCCCTTCAGCGCCATGGGAGTGGGACCCTGAGGGTGGGGGCACCCTCAGGGCACTATAGTGCGAGGAAAACGAGTTTGTTTTCCTGGCACT